AAAATGAATTCTGAAGAGGATTTTCGTGGTGCCTGTACGTGCATACGTACGTACATATCTCGCATAACTCAAAAACGAGTAACCTCAGAACGTTGAAATTTTGTATATAGGATTGCTGTAACATGTAGATGTGCACCTCGTATTTTGGTTGCAATCGGCTGCAAAAAACATACATAAATATGTTTATATATATATATCCTCTCTGTTACCCGGCTCAGTGATCTCAGTTTCTTTACTCATATATGTTCTTAAATTGTGCTTTTTTTTTTTTTTTTGCTTTAAAAATGATCGAATTATGTTGCTCTTATCTTCCGGTTAAGGTTTTTATGCCTTTAGTAAATCTGAAAGCAATATTTGTAGAATTATCAACAATTTAAAAGCTGTTTATGTGCGGTTCAGCCTAATTTTTAAATAACATGATGGACATATTTGTTTACATTTTAAACAGCGGAATAGTAGATTTGTTACCAATCTAGAGAGACTAAGCTTCGCAGGAACAAAGTATAACACCTTCATTTAATATTGCAAATTGAATCATGCTTCATCCTTTCTGAAATTTTTTGAGGAAATAAGCGTTTAAGATATACTTCGTAATTTTTAATGTAGGTATTTTGAGATTTTATGTATTTTTGTCTTGTCGGGAAGTGAGAACTGAGTTAACTAAATGAGAAATACTGAACCGTCTGTGAAAAACTGTTTCTTTATTGTTTTATTTGCTTAATTTCTTTTATACATCGTTCTAGATTTATTATAGTATTTGTATAGAACATGTGGCACCGTTTAGATTATTCTTCAAATGATATATAAATATGTTTATATACGTTTATAAGTCAAGAAATGAGGCTATTTTTTCAATTCTACTGTTGTTGTGAACTTACCAAATAACTTCAAAGTTGTGGGTACTTTGTTCTTTAAAGAAGGTACGAGAAAAGAAAGCCGCCCAAATGAGATAGTAGTTAGTGATTCTGACTGCCGTACCGGAGGGCTGGGGTTAGAATTCCGGAGAAAGCATGGGTGTTTACAAATGTGAAGTATCTTTGCGGCATGGGGGACACTCTAAATATATGACGAGGCGAAAGTTCTCTAGTGTGGACTGGTGGTAGAGGAAAAGAGGTAGGAGAGAGACCCTCGGAGCCACCCCCCCCCTCGGGATGTTGTCGCTCAAAATTAGGGTGGAACTAAGCTAAATTGTACTGTCACCTATTTGGTGTCCAAGGATTTTGTCAACGACAGGCGTTATCTTGTACTCTTTGTTACAAAGAATTTTGAGGGCTCTGGTGTCAGAGTAATAATAGCAAGATTATAACAGACTAGTTTCTTATAAATATTCCACGTGTGATCCTTTTGTAAGAAGGCAGATGAAATAGTCAAATAAGTATTGAGTAGGCCCCCTCCCCCGCCAAAAAAAATACCTAACCCAAAGCAAGTAGTCTCTCATATCTGGTTTGATTTTTAACAGGTGTCGGTATGTTCTTATGAACCGTTTCAGCAGCTATTACGATGCGTTGTTTTGGATCGTCTAAACTGGCAGAAAATGGAAAAGTAAAAGTCCTTTAATAGTCCCCTTGGTCCTTTAATATGCTCAAAAAGCAGTCACATCATATGAAATACTACCTTCTTAGTGCCAAACATGCTTGGTTTGTTGAACGGCCAATGGAAATAAATGTACCATGTAGATTTTTCATTTATACCATATTCTGAAACAATGCTGTCCAAGAGTAAAAAATGTGTTTTTGCATATTAAAATAATTAAAAGCATTTTTTATCTGATTAGCAGCCATATTTCTTGACTGACGAGATACTGATACCACAAAAATAAACATGAGCAGAAGGACATAAACACTTTCTATGTACAACGATATTGAATGCTTCATGATTGAAGGAATATTTTCCAGCTTATAAGCTTTCTTTCTGTATATTTCTTTTAAGCCAACCCTGTATTTTTAATATTTTGAGTCCAAAGGGGTTTTGTCCCTGTGGACTATTGTTTTCGTTTTGCGATTTTGCGTCGAATCACTCTGAATCTCCGTTTCACTTTTCAAACTGTTGCCACCCAATATTATCGCCCTCTATTATATTTGAAGAAGTTAAATAATGAAGAATCTGCATAAATGAATGAATGTATGTTTCTCGCATTGTGATAAAACAACGGTACTTAGAACCATCAAAATTTGAATGACGTAATCCTACTGCGAATATGGGTATCTGGATGCCCAAATTTGAAATTTGGAATTTGGTTTATGATCGATTTCATATTTTGTAAAACTTTAACGAATTTTTGATTAACCAACTCAAGGATTTTGAAGCGAGCCGCGGGAACGTAGTACAGAAAAAACATTTTTTATCTCCAGCGCGCGAAACTGTGTATCCGAAATTCTAAAGATAGGCTCATTTTAAAATTATTTTGCAAAATTGCTGTTGAACTAAATATTATGGGTTAAATGCGAAGAACATGATATATAATAAATAAAGGTAACTCACAACGCGTTAAAAAACGCTTTTTTGGACGTAATTTAAAACCTGAAACCTTTTAGTTTTTTAAAATTAACTAATTAATTAATTTTTAATTTGCGCCTTTTTACATTGGGGATCAACTTGTTCAACAACGTAGTCTGCTGCGTTTTGATCTCTTTATAACTTGTTTTAGTAACTAAATATAAAATTTTTATTGTTTATTCTTCGTTATGATGTTAATAATATTTCTTCTTTGTTACACTTATCGGCGAGTGGCTGATAATGCAAAAGTCTAAGTGTTGAGTATTAAGTAGAAAATGTTTGCGTATATCTTTTCTCAGTTATAAAAGGAAAAAAAAAATTAAACATGACTTCTATAACTTGAATAACATATATTCTATAACATGAATTCTATAATTATCATATTTTTGTTAAAGTTAGTAAAAATATATTGACACGGTACGTATAAGAAGCTCACTTGAAACATTAATACAATTAAAATTTTGTGAATTTATAAGCTGATAATCCAAGAATAATATCCAAGTGCAGAAATTAAGTCATTTTAACTATGTGAATTTCTTCTCATTCAACTTCTATTTTGCATAAATAATTGTTTTTATATCAAACATGATGGACTTTACGTGGATGTTTGTTACGTGTACCATTATTATTAGACAAATTTTCTTTCACCTTGTAAGGTACATTTTAATTTTATAAGAGTTATTTTAATTTAATTGTACTTTCCTAACGATTCTTGTTTCAACTTACAGTTCCCTACCAGAATGAGTTTTTAGAATAGCGTTGAATGCAAATGAGTAAGAAGTAGTATTAAAGGAAAGTTCAACTTATTTCGTGAAAATTTCGTGAAAAAGAGCTAAGAATCCTGAGCAGCGCGCGTTTGCCTTCGGGCTAAATTTCTCTAAGCTGTTAATATGCTCGGCCATATTACGTACCTTTCGATATTCGTCGGCTAGTTTAAATTAAGGGCCAACTACGTTAGATACTTGTTGTGGTAGCTTCGGCTAAGTCTCTTAGTTAATTTAGTTCTTATTTCTTATTTTAAGTGAGTCCGAGTGAAGGCTTTGTTGTAAGCCCAAGAAAGGGGCATACTGTTCATCTTATTTTGAGTGAAATAAAGGGTAGTTAATCCTTCTCGAGTCTACGTCTTAGTTGTTTGAACTCAGAAATAAGTCCCTAACAAGTTCATTATCCTCCTCAACGTTCATTTTAGTTCAAAAAGAGTAAGGAACTCTACAAATTGTACCAGTAAGCATCCAAACAGTAGTTTCAGATATAAAAATTTCTGCCTTTTGTTTATAACTAATCTCGCTTGCGAAAAAATGTGGGTGCTTTTCCGTTTCGCCGGCGCAAATCTCGCAAAGCAGACTTTATTGGCGACAGCACACAGTATACACATAAAAAATGTTAACAAATGTTAGTTCTAAGAAATTTTTATTTTGAAGGTATAAACATTTTAATATCACTTAAAATTTTGTAAAAAGACAAAAAATTTGTAAAAAGACATTAATTTAAGAATTTACTATGCTTTCATGGTACAGCACCCTGATTCGTAATTTCTTATCACGTGACCTTAAGTGATCTCATCTCCCGTAAACTACGCTACAAAAATCTAATTCTCTCAGTAATTATATACATTAATTTCAAGTTAAATCTTAATTTGGAATACAAGTTTAAATTCGTTTCGTACGAATAGCTTACTGCAAAATTATGTAAAATCGCAGCGCTTTTACTTCGCTAGTTCATTCTCATTAGAATGGATGAATTTAACCCTTAACTTTGCCTTTTCTATATTTTCGCCTTCGGGTGATTGCATCATAATTGACTTAATTACCGCGAATGGCGTTAGGGTATAAAATTGAACTATCTAGATAAAAATTATATGTAATTGTATACCAGTATTGAAAGAAACAATTTTGGCGACTTTATCGCTTGCGCCGGCAAAATGGAAAAGTACCAAGTCTCTTAACTGGAACGAAGATTTTTAACTTTCATTATTTGAATTGTGTGCTTTAAATCTATTTACATCTAAGTCGAGTGTTTACTAATTTTACCAATCATTATTTATCATTTACAGTTAGTTTTCTGGTACCTTCTTTGTGCATGCAAAATAGAAATATATTCCAATTTATTATAACTGGCCTAATTTTTAACTAAATAAATATCATTTTTAAAAATAAAAATTTAGGATTTTTTAGTAAAATAAGGCAAAATATAAATAGCATCAAATTAAAAAAATAAACCACGATAAGTCTTTTAAAATATTCTGTAGATTTGAAAAGCTTTAACGTTAAAAAAAAAAAAGAACAAACTTTCAATGGCATAAATTTATCACTTCATTTTTTGATAAGAACTCTGATTTTTGCCAATAAATAATTAATTTTTTCACACTACCCTTTCTTGGTTTAGAATTTCGAGCGAAGACGTACTATTTTAGATACTGAAATTATAATTTATATAAAAGGTAATGATTTAGTTCATTGTATAGCATGGTATCATCACTGCGTTTCTTAGATTTAGGGACTAACCTGTACAGAAGCATATCTTCTGGGCGAAGTGGAGCAGGGTTTGGCTTAACCGGCGCTTGGCCGGTTTGTAGGCGTGCTAGCTTTCCGTACGAAGCATCTTTAAACGTCTTTGTACCAGAAGCAACGTAAGAATTCCCATCCGTGAGTTCATGGAGCTCAGTAATTAGTTGACCTTTAAGATCAAACATGTACCGAACTCCTTGAGGTATTTTCAGACGTTGACTGAGATAATCACAAAATCCTGCCAAATTATGAAAATTTTTGCCTGGATTCACACTAACTCTAGTTCCTGGAAAGTATGGATCCCCATTACGGTACACCGTAACGACCAAAGCTTTCGGCACTGTACCTGACGGTCCTATAGGTGGTATACGCTTTCGACCGTATCCCACTTTGATGTCGAATGCGCGTTTGTCTCCAAGATCTCCCAACGAGCGAACTGCTCTTAATCCAGAGCTGCTCTTCATGTTTGTCTTGTTGTAGTAGCTGTATTGGAATTAACATTAAATATGAAACAAGCCACAAGTAACCATTACATGACAGTCATCGCATTGTTAATTTGGTATAATTACACTTTGATGATGGGATAATTTCCAAGTTATCGTTTCTAAAGCAGGTATCCAACTTGTCAAAGAAGGACATCAACATGTTTCTAATACTTGTTATTCATCTAACTCAAATGAATCTTCACTAATGCTAAAGAGAGTCAAAATGTCTTTTTTCCAGTTATGTAGAAGCAAAAATATTTCCAGTAAGTGTACATAGACACAACAGATTTAGGTCTGAATCTCGTGTATTACTTGAACACATTTTAATACACACGAGGATTTCAAGGATTTGTTGACATGTGGGTCATCAAACCAGTTACGTCCTTCACCCATCGTCGGCATGGTGAAAGGCAAAGTTTGTCGAACGAAGCTTTCTAAGAACATTTTGCGCGTGAAGCTCTTACTTGCGCAATTAACTGGTGCGTCTCAACCAATAACATTTGGCAGATATTTACTGGTAAGTCAAGTTATCGTTTTTGAGTAATATGGCAGGCAATGGCGCGTGGTTATTTTTTGTTTCCATGACAACGTAAACATGAATCTGCGTGCAGAGGGGATTCGTGACTGTCTGCATTGCACTTGCGAACTAATGAAATCAATGTACGGAAAGCTTGAAGGTTAAAAGCATTTTAACGATTGCCTAAATCTTGTTTATTAATAGAATATCAATGCATTTATTATTTTGATTGATATATTATTAGATAAGCATTAATTTATTACAATTTGTCTATTAAATCTTATGAATATGTAACTTTAAAACACATTTTTGGGGTACTTAACAAGTTAAAGGCTGTTAAATCAGTAAGTTCGGAATACTGTTAATCAGCTAATTAAAATTAGAGTACTTAGTAAAGATAACCTTAAGAAGAAATTTGTTATATCTTCGCATATTAGGTACACGTCCACAGATATAATGAAAAATAGTTAAAAAATATTTAATAGTTTATTTCCTAATATGACATTATGATAAAACAAAGGTACCCAGAGCCATCAAGTTTTGCATAACGTAATCCTCCTGTGAATGTGGGCATCTGGAAGCCCAAATTTGGACTCTCATCGAATTTGTTTTATGATCGATTTCATATTTTGTAAAACTTTAACAACTTTTTGATTAACCAACTCAAGGATTTCGAAGCGAGCCATGGCAACGTTGTAGAGAAAAAATATTTTTATCTCCTGCGCGCGAGACTGTTTATCCGAAATTCTAAAGATATGCTCATTTTAAAATTTATTTTGCAAAATTGCTGTTGAATTGAATTTTATGGGTTAAGTTCGAAGAAATGATATTTAATAATAAAAGGTGTAGAAACATTAGGATTTTTGGAAGTCGGAGAGATGAAAAATTAGCAAACGCCTTCGCCGGGAGTCGAACCACGGACCTTTGGAATACCACACCAGCGTGCAGAACCACTACACCACGAAGGCACGCTAGGAAAGTGGGAGAAATACCTTATATACTCCCCTTTTTAAAGGGCGACTGGGGTTTTTAGGGGACTCAGTCGCCAAATCCTAGGTACGGAGAATCATCATTCACAAACCTTTTAGTTCGGGCGCCACTGTAGAGACATTATGATTTTTGGAAGTCGGAGAGATGAAAAATTAGCAACCGCCTTCGCCGGAATCGAACCACAGACCTCTGGAATACCGGCCCAGCGTGCAGAACCACTACACCACGAAGGCACGCTAGGAAAATGGAAGAAATACATTATAAAGGTAACACAAAAATGTTAAAAAACGCCCTTTTGGACGTAATTTAAAATCCGAAATCTTTCAGATATTTTTTTAAAACTAAATCTGCGCCTTTTTACATTGGTGATCAACTGTTCAACTCGTTCAACATACGTAGTCTACTGCGTTTTGTTCTCTTTATAACTTGTTTTAGTAACTAAATATAAAATTTTTATTATTCGTCTTCGCAATGATGTTAATAATATTTCTTCTTTGCTATACTTATCGCGAATGGCTGATAATGCAAAAGTCTAAGTGTTGAGTATTAACTAGAAAATGCTTATGTATATCTCTTTGAACCTAAATGTTGAAATATATCATATCCTTTCTTGTACCTTTTTTTTTTTTTTTTTTTTTTTTTTTTAATTTCAGGATTTAAAATGTCAAACATATTTAACTTACAAGCCAATCCTGAAATTAAAAGTAAACAACTACGATTTAATTTAAAATAAAGATAATTAATTATACACAAATTGAGGTCTTATTGATAATATAAATGAATCATGAATTTTTTTGTAGCTTTCATCAAATATTTCTATGAAAGTTATAAATAAATCCCATGTTAGCTTTAAGAAAAACTAAAATTTTAAACCCTATTTTTTGTTATTATACCGGTACTTATTTTATAGGCCATTAATTTTAAAACACATTCAAATGGAACGTTTTATTTTAGAGCGGTTCGTTCTATATTATATTAACACATCTTTTAATGTACACTCTGCAAAAAATAAATAAATAATAATCGTGGTCGACTGACAAAATTTAATTTTGCGTTTTTCATGTCCCGAAAGCGCGACTTAGGATTTGTATTAGATTTATATGTAGGTAACTTGATATTTTGATACAAAATCTTTTTTTTTTTTTTTTTTTTTTTTTTCTTGAAATGACATATCGATTTTTTCCCACATTTCGACTCTACGATTCAAATTATGACTAAATATTAAATTTTAAAAAAATTGCTGAGAAACTTAATGAGAAATTTAAAATTTATCTTGTCTCACATTTTCCCGTTTCCCGCCAAAAATAATTCACTTGGCGAAATTCTTGATTTTAAGGTTACCTATTTTCCTTTCCCTTTCGTTGTGCAGAAACGGGGAAAAAGCTGCATTTTTCATTCTTTCAAATAATTTTAACAAACTGCGTAAATCCCATTTGGCGTATTTCTACTTATAACAAATATGCCAAATTTCAAAACACATACGTATATATAACTTCATGTATATCATGGGAAATTTTGAATAAAAAACTATTTTTTTGCAGGTATGCCTAGAAATAATCTACTTTAAGGTGATGGACGAAATTTTACAATTCATAACGTTTTTCGAAATATTTATAAAAATTACTAAAATATATACCGATTCAACTAACATCAAGGAGCTAAAATTTTGAGAGCTAATCTTTAAAAACTACTCATGCGATTTTCATAAAACTTGGTACTTCGGCATAACTTGAATCGTAGAATTGAAATATGGATAAAAATTGGCATGTCGTTTTTAGAAACAGTCCCATTTTGTGTCAGAATACCTATGTTAGAACAATTCTATATATAAATTTAATGTCCAAGTCTACCCCCCCTTTTTTTTTCTCTAGAGTGTTCAACAGCTTATCTCACCTGTTGAATGTTCAGTTGTAGCATCATTAGGTTTGTCGAAAAAGGAAATATGAAAAATGCGCAATAATCTCGTTAGGATTTGAATTTAGAACCTTCTGACTACTAGCATTATGAGCTTCTAATTATATCAGCACGCGGTAAGAAACGTTTGGTTTATTTACTTTTGGCAAAGTACTCGAAGGCTATCTGCCTAACTGAAGGGATGATTTCGTGGAAGACCTTCTAAGGAAAAAAGGCTCATATACATTGTTTTGGAAAACAATTACGAATGAAAAAAACAACTTTTCATATTGAATCTGGTTTTTATTCTGGCAACTACTAGAAAAGAGGAATGCTAACAAGAAACAATGAGTTGTTAACCTTTTTACTTCCTTGTACGAAGTAAAAAGGAAGTATTGTAATCGCGAAAAGTTTCAGGCAGCATATTTCAACGAAAATATCCATTTTGACCGCTATCGAATGCAATTTAACGATGTTTTTGCATCATATCTGTACGTAAGGACAGAATAAAATACTCGTTTCCTTCAAAAAAATTATAAAACTGCTTTAAAATTAATTCTGAAGAGAATTTTTCGTGGCCTCTGTACGAACGTATGTACGTACGTACGTTCGTGCGTACGTACGTATCTCGCATAACTCAAAAACGAGTAGCCTCAGAACGTTGAAATTTTGTATATAGGACTGCTATAACATGTAGATGTGCACCTCGTATTTTGGTTGCCATCGCCAGCACAAAACGTATATAAATATATTTATATATATATCCACTGTATTACCCAGCTCAGTGATCTCAGTTTCTTTACTGTCATATGTTTGTAAATTGTACATTTTTTGCTTTAAAAATGATTGAATTATGTTTTTTTATATCTTCCGGTTAAGGATTTTATGCCTTTAGTAAATCTGTGTGCAATATTTTTAGAATTATCAGCAATTTTTAAGTTGTTTAATTGCCGCTAAAACCTGTTTTTAATGGCGGCCATTGATGTTTACATTTGAAACAGGAGACTAGTGGATTAAGATAACGCATTCATTTATTATTGCCAATTAAATCATGCTTAATTCTTCCTGGAATTTTTTCGAGGAAATAAGCGTTTGAGATTATGTATTTTTGCCTTCTCGCGAAGTGAGAACTGAATTAATTGAAGGAGAAATACTCAATCGTCTGTGAAAAACTGTTTCTGTTTTGTTTTGTTTGCTTAATTTCTTTTTACATAGTTCTAGCTTTATTATAGTATTTGAATAGAACATGTGGCAACGTTTAGATAATTCTTTAAATGATATACATTTTGTGCATTCTGAGTTATAATATGAATGAAATATAATACTGTTAAGTAAACCTAGCGCCAGAGTGTCGCTATGGTAAACAAAGTGAATTTTAAAGAATGCATTTATTCTATTGTGGTTTATGCGCTGTCGGCGAAGTAGGTTTAATTCAATATAATAAGTTTAAATAAAATGCAAGAAAAAATGGTTTTCTTAACAGTGGTATCTCCAATCTTAGATTCTAACTTAAACTCATGATATTCTCGGAATTATCTTATCATGAGTCCGAATACTTTAAATCATAATAGTCTAGTACAAGGTTTCTCAACCGGTGGTGCAAATACCACTGATGGTAAGCACGAGAAAAATAGGTGGCACACAAAGAAGCAAAGTATTTTTAACTATTAAATTCAAAAATTAAACACCCCAACATCCTGATTTAGATTTTTCTCTAACACTCGTAAATTTATGCAATCAGGTTTGTTCAAGAGTGGTGGTAGTAATACTTTGTAGTGGTGGTACTAAAGGTTCTAGATGGTACGCGTTAGTCAAAAGGTTGAGAACGCTGGTCTAGTACGTATGTGTTCTACTGGCGACCTTCAGTGTCCGTTAATGCAGTCCGCATAACAGAAAGATGCAAGACAATATAAGTGTACATGATAGTTAAATTTGGAAAGGAAAATTTTGTTTGGATGTATATTAGTTGCCAAAATACGAGTAAAACAAATTTGTTGACATCTCATATTAAGAGCAATACTTAGTTGACTCTCGGATACTTTTCTTAGCCACAGCACTTAACGTTATCTTTGTTTCGGTGTATTTCCTAGGTTCGGTGTATTTTTTAAAATTTTAAATATGAGTGGATGACGGGGATTCATACGTAATCCAAGCATTCGCAATAAATTACGTGAATTCACGCACAATAAATACACCAGAAAGGTACACCAGATTAATAATGCTGAAGTTAAACTGGAAAAATAACAATATTTATCATCATAACTGGTTTTATTTGTTGTTCACTGAAAATGCGTAAGAATATAACAGAACATGTTATGCTGCGGTCGTTCTTAGAATATTGAAGTATACACGTTTCGTCTCAAAAATAAATATTTATTAAGTACTTAAGTTAGTCTTATGAAATATATTCTTCAGTTATGGACATCCAAATGTGCTTGGTGGTCTTCCCAGCTCAAGGAAACGGTAGATAAGTGCTTTCAGGAGGGGATTGCGAATGCGACAACAGTGTCCAGAATAATCGTCAGATAATGAGCTAGTCAGAGCAATACCGCCATAGAAAAAGAAAGCGAAATCAGATTTCTCATCTAGAAATATCGGATTTTGATAACCTATCCAAGAATCTCTCCTGTAAATGTAAGGTCCAGAATTTGCATCATAGACCTTATTCCAGTGAGGTTCACCTAAAAGCTCACATACCTGTAAAAGAAAAGAAAAATATTTACGTAATGTAACATGTTTAAAAATGCACTAAGCAACTAGATCTTCAAACGTGAAAGCATATAACAAACTGCTCCTTTTGTAGAGACATTAGGATTTTTTTGGAAGCAGGAGAAAGTAAAAATTAGCAACCGCCTTCGCCGAGAATCGACCCACGGACCTCTGGAATACCGGCTCTGCGTGTAGAACCACTACACCACGAAGGCACTCTAGGAAAGCGGGAGATATACCCTATAATTTGATCTGATTAAAATTATTCAGAGATTTAAAAAGTGTCAAAGCCGTTTTTGAACTTTATTTATTTGATCTGATTAAAATTATTCAGAAATTTAAAAAGTGTCAAAGGCGTTTTTGAATTTTATTTATGTATTTACTTTTGAGTAGCACCGCTCAAAATTGCCGATTCATAAAATGTATATGAAACTATAGCTGAAACCTTGATTACAACGGAAAGTGTATGGATGCGAATGCTTAGTGGAGCAAGAAATCATACCGGTTTTGGTTTTTAATTCCTTTCACGAAGTATTGTGTAAGGTTCTATCCTGTGTACTTTTAAGGTACAGTTAAAGTTGAAGAATCTTAAGAACTGGTAAGCGAATACTCGCTTGAGTTCGTGAGACAGAAAATAAAACTTGGGAAGCGTTAAATACCCTTTATTATTCCAAATTAATTTCACAGAACTCCTTCTTGGAGTTTTATAATAAAGCTTCCACTCGGGTTTAAACTCAGAAAACTAAGAATTAAACTAAAAAGATATAGCCGAAGCTATCAAGATTCTAATAGAGTTGGCCCCTTAACGCTAATAAACGGCGAAGCTATCAAAGGGCCTAAAATACGGCCGAGCGTAGTAATAGCTTAAGAGAAAGAGTAGCCTAAAAAGACGAACGTGTGCTAGTCAGAATCACTTATTCTCTCTCACGAAGTCAGTAGAACTTCACGGTTGAATACTTCTCATTTGCATTCAAACGCGATTCTAAAAATACGTTCTGGCCGGAAGTTGTAAGCTTGAAATTAAGAAAGGATAGGAAAGTAACTTAACTCAAACTTTAATTGTTAGGTAAATTAAGATAAGCCTTACAAATGTAATCCCGAAAAATTTCGGATATTATATTTCAACGAAGATATCCATTTTGATATCTCTCCAATCTATCTGAATGATGGTCTTGCGTGGCATCTGTACGTACTACAGAATAAAACACTAACGTATAATAAAATTAATTCCAAAAACGGATAGTAAAATGGATTTAAAACGGATTCAAAGAGATCTATTTCGTAACGTTTGCATATACATACGTACGTATGTATACGCAAACGTTGTATGCAAACGTACGTATGTATAAGCAAACGTTACGAAATACGTACATACGTACGTATATATGTATCTTGCATAACTGAGAGACGAGTAGCCTTAGTATATAAAACTGCTATAATTTAGCCTTAGCATATAGGACTGCTATAACATGTAGTTGTGCACTTCCCTTCTTCGGAAGCAACAAAGGTATATATATATCCACTCTGTTACCACACAATCGGAAGCAACAAATGTATATATATCCACTCTGTTACCCGGCTCCTTGACCTCAGTTTTTTGTATCTTATATATTGGTAAATTGCGCAATTTTTTCTTTTAAAAGTGATTGATTTACGTTTTTCTTATATTTCAATTAAGGTTTCTATGCCTCTACTCAATCCGCATGCAACAGTTGTAGAGTTGTCAACAAGTTAAAAGTTCGAGTATTCCTATGCTTAACGAGATCGCCATTTATTTGCATTTAAAATTCTTAGAAGAATATTGAATTAAGTCAGTTTGTGCACCAACTTCAACGTCTTTTTTCAGAGTGGGACCAAAAGTAAACTTTCAATTTTGTGCACCGAAAAATATGTCTTCCTGCCCAGTGGCCGAATCACTTGTTTTTGCGTGGACTGCAATTTTAATTGTAAAATTTTTTTTTTCCAACTGATTTTAACCGTGTTTGGTGTTTTATGTTGTTCTGTATTTTACAATTTTTAATGAAGATGTTTTGAGTTTTTATGTTCTTAATGAATTGATTGAATGCGATATTTCTATCAAATTCGGGGAAATGTGTTTAAATGAAATGCAGCAAAAAATTTTGTATAATTTAATAGGCCGTAAAAAGAAGTAATATAATGTCCGCATCAGATATTTCATTTACACAAAATGGCAGTTTTTCATGATAATTTTTGTCACATTTTCTTATTTCATCGTATGATTAACCATTAAAGTAAAAGGCAGTGCCCACGTCCTCCGTCACTTATCACTTATCTCATCGTATGCAAGAATGTCATCCTTCTCAGAATTCTTCACCTAATGCACTTCAAATAATATGTAAACCTAATGATCGAAAATTTTTATGTTAACATTGCTATAAAAGCATATATAATGGTTTATTATATTTGATATACAGTGTCTCACAAAAATGATGGGACACTTGTGCTTTACAAAAGGAAACTAATAAAATAAATTTAAAAAAAAACATGTAACAATTTTTTGTGGGTGTGTTTCATACTTAAATTTAGTAACAATTATTACATAACATACATTTTCTCAAAAATATTAAAATATTAATTTAATAAAAATACAATTGTTTAGAACGGAGCAAAAAATGGCTCACATAAGTGATGGGACACCATCAGATACTACTACGTACTACAATAAAAATATTTTTTTGATGTTTTTATTTTTACTCAAAAGCAATTGGCAATAATTTATAAAATCTTCTGCAGTATTTCTCTCTAGTTTGTTTTGGAATTTTTGTGTTTTTTTAGCTCTGTGCAGCCCTGAATACTAAATGAAAAGAAACTTTGCCTGAAATTCGAAAATTAGTTATTAAATTTGCATATTGAACGTGGAAAATCTATTAGAGAAACCGCAGAAACAGTTAACTTGAGTCATTCAACAGTTTTCAATATCATTAAACGATATAAAAAGAATCATATGATTCAGGGTAAAAGAAGACCCGGCCGACCATCAAAGCTATCCAAATGGAATAAAGCGAATTATCGTTCGAAATATTAAAAAAAAAATCCAAGAATGAGTGCTCCGTAAAGTTGCTGTCTGATTTACAAGCATTATATGGAGTAATTGTTAATCCTGAGACTATTATAGAAGAGTAATTAGATATGCTGGATATCACGGTAGAGCAGCCAGGAAAAAATTCTTCTTAAGTGAAAAGAATAGACAACTCAGACTGGCTTTCGCAAAATCCAACATAAATAGGAATTCTGATTATTGGAATGAAGTTATACTTGCTGATGAGAGTAAATTTAATATATTTGGTTCTGATGGTAGAATCTTGGTGTGGAGAAAACCCAGAGAAGAATTTCACAAACAGAACTTGGTGCCAACAGTAAAACATGGTGGAGGAGGGAGTTATGGTATGGGGGTGTATGTCGTCCGCTGGTGTTGTGATCTTGTTTTTATTGACAGTATAATGGATCGGCACAAGTATATGTTAACATTTTAAATCAAAATTTGAAATCCTTCGGCACGAAAATTGAACCTTCGTAACGATTTTAAATTCTACCAGGACAATGACCTCCAAGCACACTGCTTTGAACGTTAGAGTCTGGCTGCTGTATAACTGTCCTGGAAATAATAAAAACACCACCACAATCTCCAGACTTAAATCACATAGAAAATATTTGGCAAAGAATTGGAATCAAGAATTCGCAAATACGCCATTTCTTCAAACAACAATTAAAAAAACCCGGTGCTTCAAGAAGAATGGGGTAAAATCACTCCAGAAATCACAAAAAATTGAGTCAAATCCATCCCAAGAAGATTAAATTCACATTTTAAAAGTAAAAGGAAATACAAAAAATATTAAAACCTTTTAAAAGTAAAATTTTTTGGATAAATATTTGATGGAAAAGTAAATGCCCCATCACTTACGTGAGTATCCAATCACTTAATGTGAGCCATTTTTTGCTCCGTTCTAAACAATTGTATTTTCTTTAAATTAACATTTTAATATTTTGAGAAAATGTGTGGTATGTAATAATTGTTACTAAATTTAAGTATGAAACACACACCCACAAAAAATTTTTACATGTTTTTTTAATTTATTTTACTACAGTTTCTTTTTGTAAAGCACAAGTGTCCCATCACTTTTGTGAGACACTGTACATGCTTCAGGCTTAGGTTTGTCTGGTTTATTTGATTATGAAAAAGTGCGAGGAGGGCTATGTGCATATGAGGGCAGATAACTACCTTTCTAAGGAAAACAGACTAGTATCTACGTTATCCATAAGTAAAAACATGAAACACTATTAACCTAGCCCATTGGTATGAAATCGAACCCAGGTATAATTAATTACTAGTGTTCAGAGAGTTTAACGCTCGGTCTCTGGTGGGCCCGAACTTAAGTTGGAGCTTAAGGAGAAGCAAAGCTACTTCGCCCTGCTTAGCTTAAAGGACTTAATTTTATTACCACAACTTAATACAATACCTAACCTACCACTACTAACTTAACCAACTACCAACTTAATTAGATGTCTAATTAGACTCTCTTTTACAACACTAAATGTATGTATTACGGTAGAAAAGCAGAATCTACGGTAGAAAGCAGTCCAGGAGGCGCATTGTTTCAAAATATAAATAAGCTACAAATTCCAGTTACAAATATCGTTTATTTGTTACAGACTGTTAGCAATGTAAAGCAAACTGTTAAATGTGGACCCCTTCGTCAAACTGTGCAGGTAATGAACCAAGTGTTCATCCACTGATCATCATTGATCTATCGTACATGTAACGTTGTCAATTCTTCAGGTCAACCAAAGTTGCAAGATTCCCTCGATAAATCACATTCTTTAAATGGTCCCATAACCAAAAATAACTGAGATTGAGATCGGGAGAACAGGCCAGTTAAAGAGTGGGAAATGAACGGCTAATCACTCTGTAACCTGCAAAATGTTGCCGCAAAATCATCTGCACACAGACTGCATTATGGGGGAGGGGCACCTTCCTGCATAAAAGTGGTAGATGCAAGACACTGTCTCTGCTGAAGTTGAAGTAAGACGAAACTGTTGAGTATGTCACGATATCTGAGGATAGTTAAAGAGCTTGTTACAGTGTCGTTATCGTAATTTTCTTCGAAGAAGAATAGCCCGAGAATAAACTGGGAAGTGAACCCACACCAGACGGTAACTTTAGGCGAGTGTAATGAAATTGTGTGGAAGGCACGTGGACTTTCTATGGCTTAAATGCAACAATTCTGGGTGTTCAAGGTTCCACTGAGATAAAAATGTGCCTCATCACTCCAGAAGATATTCCACGGCCAGGAACTCAATCGTCTTATATTCGGCTCTAATCAGTGTAAAAGATAAGCGACGGCCACTGTCGGTAATAGGGAGATGCTGGTTGTGACTGATCCTAAACAGAAAAAGGGCGCTATTTTTTTCAGTATCTTCCACACTGTCATGACACTGCACGTGCACTATTGACGTCATGATCATTTCTGAGGGACTGCTCGAGAATGGCCGTTACTACGTCTGAAACGACTTCCGCTCTAACAGGAACTGCACCAACTTTCGCCCTCAAACTTCTTTTGACACCACGAAAACTTCTTTTGACCACAAAACATTGCGAAACTTCTTTTGAGCTTGTGAAACGTTTTTTGTCCACGAAATTCATGAAGAACTGCTACAGCATTTCACTGGAAACAGTTTCATCATCAACGCAAGTTCTGACAAACTAATATTCATCGTAATTGAACGAGTCATCCGCACTCGATCTTGAAAATGTTAAAATGAGCCCACGGTTATTTATGATATGTCTTTTCAAGTATTTTATTGTAATTACATCATGCAAAGTAGAGTAAGTAGAAAGATATTATTTAAGCTAGTCTCAGAGTTACTTCATACAGAGCGAGTTCTGCGGTTCGACCACGTTGTTTCGCTGATTAAGCTCGCTATTTTACGGCTGTACATATTAATTGCCGGTTTGTCTATATTGGTGATAGGGTTAAGAACCAACTCGCGTTTTATCTGTGTGCAGCTTCGGTTGATTATTTAATTTAATTTCAATTTTATATTTCTGTTCTGAGTTGCAGCCAAAAGCATTGGCTCAGTTTCTAAGCGCTAGGGATGCCGTCTGTAAATTCCTTGTTGAGTTGAATAAAAGGGTCCTTTCGCCCTTCTCAAGTCTTGTCATTGATGCAGTTTGAACTTAGCGAATAGTCGCTTCACAGTAAAGATATAGCCAGCAACTGCAAGGGTATATATCTGAAAAGTGTCTCAAGGGGCACCGTGCTTGTCCCGTTTGAAATAGGACTTTTATTTAATGTTTAATAAATGCACGTTGGCTTTTCTTAACGAATGGCCTCTCATGGACCATCAAATGGATAAAATTATTGAACATGAGTACAAGTTTGGTAATATAAGTAACAACAATTCATGCCATAGTGTTTAGAAGTTGAGGAAAGACATATGAAGCATTGGTACTTTCCTTCAGTATAAACTATATTTTTATTAATATTTAAAAAATGAAGTATCTGATACTAAAAATCAAAATTCTTTTAGCCTGAGTTTACTGCGCTGCTTAAAGAAAAATGTCCCGTTAACTTTCGTGAAAAATTTTTAAACTGAAAGACAAAAATCAGTTTGAATCAGAAATGTGATTGTCCTAAACCAAAGGGTCTTTTAGTACCATAAAACTGCGTGCAGTTTAACTATATGAAGTACGAAATACAAAATACCTATAAATAAAGAACGCTATTTCAGAGCTGCCTACAAGCGAAATCAGTTATCAGAAAATTTGAAAATTTTGTGGCAGACTTAAGGGATGAGAATTTCTTTCAGCGCCAAAAAATAGTCGCAAATAGTGCCAGCAGAGGACGTTTTACGTTGGAAACCTGTTGAAAAAATGCAAATCTTTGTCAACGTAATGAAGCAGCTGTTATAAAACCTAGAAACATTCGCGGAGACTTACTAGTTTTCAATGTGCATTTTGTTCATAATAACGATAAGTTTACCAGATCGTGCTTTGTTAGTAAAATTGGTCTACTTAAACAATAATTCCGCAGTAATTGCTCTACTTAAATTTCGGACTTCGAAGTGGATTCTAAGAGGTCCGATGAATGTTAAAAGTCTTCGGAAATTGATAACAAAATTTGAAAAATGAGGATCGTTTTCTGTTCTTCCTGGAAAACGAAGAAAACCTGTTTCTGTAGAAGTAGTGCAGGAGGTTGTGCTTCAGGTCGTAGAGAACACAGCTTCTAACTTTCTGTCTAGCACCAGTGTCCAGCCATAAGTGTTGCGGAATATTTTCCACCCTTACCGCATTCGTAAAGCAGTACATTCCGAATAAGAGGCGGTAAATTAGCTTAGTGCAGGTAGTTCGACCAGGGTTCGAACCCAGGCGGAGGGGCTGGCTGCATGGCCGTTTTCGTGTTTTCCCCCGTGTTTAACCTGTATACAAGCTAGTTTTTCTTAGAAAGTCCTCCATCGAGGTGTCCCTTCACATAGGCAGATAGCTCTCCTGTGCTTTGCCGTAATCAAATAAACCGTAAACTATAAATAGATACCTTACGAATGTACTAACACATATTTTATGCATATATGATATAAGTATGTTACATAAGCAAACGAAAACGCACATTTATGATTGTGCGATTTACTTACTTCATAATAACTTATATCTTTAGGTAGTGGTTGCGGTAATATATTAGCATATATGCCATGAGATTTTTCATCCTGTAAGCGGTACCTTCTTCCGGTCGCTCTTTCGCCCAAAATCAGTTTCTGTCGCGGAACTCCTTGTTCGCTCCAAAACTGCATCATGGAAGCCTACAAGGACGTATAAAATATACTTTTTGCTTTACAAATGTTTCAAAGGATTTTTACGCTTTCAGAGGATTAACGAAATACTTAAAGGAATAACGATTCATTAAGACCACTTTTCTTGCCATTGTTTTAAGTTTTGATGAAGTCTTATAAACGGATATTTTGAAAAAATAAATTGCAAAATGAGAGAAAGGAGTATAATTATGATGGTGTAGAGCAAGGTGTCTTAAACTGGGGGTCGCAGGACCTGCAACAGGGTGTCGCTAAAAATTTTAGCAGATTTAATATTTCTTGAACTTACTATAATAGTTTTACAACTACCCAATATTTTTACATAATGTATCTGAAAAAAGACAATACAGACAAAGGAAAATACGAAAACGTTTCGACGCATTCTTTTTATAATATAAACGTTTATTTTCTTTGCTTTGCACGTGAAGCTGTCATTTCGTCTGTTACTTATTTAAAATTTTCACATTGTTCTATGTCTTAAAATTAGAAATTAAATGACCTAAAACTGCAATAGTATATTACAGTACAAGTGAAAAAATTGACAGTTTCACTCACGCGTATGTCGAAGTTGCGCAATACTTATGGGGTCCCACAAAATTTTTGTGAATATTATGGGGTCCCGGGGGTCGCAAAAAAATCTCAGTGATAAAAAAAGGTCGCGACTGAAAAAGGTTTAAGAAACCCTGGTGTAGAGGACACTTATATTGTTCAAAAACTAAATAAACCACACTGATAACTACGATACATATGAACTGTATAACTACTACTAATTATAATAGTTAGTGTAGTTGAGGAAGTTTAAGCTTACGTCTATTAGGCTGGTCACTAGTGTGTTGAAGAACGAACAAGTAACTACCTAACCGAATTGTTACTTCATGGAAATTGTGAAAGAAAGGGGAGGATTAAGATTCTCTTTCTCAGAATTACTGCAAAATAAAAAACGAGCAAAAATATACGTCTACATTTTTTCTTAAAATTTATCCTAAAATGTAAGAAGAGGCATATGTTCAAAACGTTTTTATTTTCGAGTTGTGATGCTATGAATTTTGCAGAGCTGGATAGAGAATAGCCCGAGGGATCAATAACTACCTGTAAATATTTCCCTACCAATTATCTCTCGATGACACTTACGTATCAACGGATTTTAAGTACACTTACTTCTTATAAAGACTATATTATTCACAGATAACCATGGTTTATTTCAGTTCTAATCCTGAAAGACTTTCTTAAGATCTTCATAATTGAATCAGATAATGGCTGTCAGTTCCGAATAACCCGGGAATGAAAGATTATGACTGGAAAATTTGCCGTTGACTCAGTACTAATTAATTGCTCACACTTTCTTGTCTTATCACCTTTGACAGTTGTTTGACATGAACTCATGGAAAAACTGTCCTTGCGTAAGATAGAGCCATAATCTACAAGTGATTTACATTACAAAGGCACTTTAATCAAAGTGTGCTTTCCTTCAATCAAACAAACCGAAAACAAACTACTGCCTGAGCTTTTCTGTTCTTTACATTATGAGTTATCTGTTGATACCCTACGTAGAAAATTGAATGAAATGACGAATCATAGTAGCAGAAATCCATTTACCGACAAATTCTCTAAACGTATTCCAAATTGCTGTACTGGGGCATCTTTTTAAAATGCTTGAATTTTTCCTGGAGCTGTTTTAAACTTTAGCTTTATCAGCATAAGAGTAAGTTTAACCTACAGAGTCGTGAATGAGGCGATAGGTTTTTATGCTTTTACTCTGCGAATACACTTTCAGATGAATTGCCATCTAAGTTTAGATTCCATAGTTCGCCATTAAAATACAGTTCAGTTTTTATGCTTTCAGTTTTCTTCTTTACCGTGTTGTGGTGATTACAAAGGTACAAATTAATCTGAACGAAAATGCTGTATGCTTTGCATATTATTTCAAACTAGAAAAATTAACTATCTACAGAATTAACTATCTACAGAAAGGAAAACTCCTTTCTAAAATCTTTCATGAACTTAATTATACTAAATTCCTCAGTTGTACTTACTGCATATTGTAATTGCCAATTGGACAAGTGCTGTCATTTCAAAAAATCACAACAACTACTTCAACTACGTCGCAGGTAATGATGAAACCATCATTAGTTATTATGTCAAAATAATAACAGCACTGTAATAATATTAATTCGCCATTTATTTCGTTCTTTGAGTGTTTCGAGAAGGAAAGCGTAATAATAGTTTGTAATTATTAGAAGAAACATAAATTATTTAACCTCTTCAAATGTATCCTTTTCTTGAAAGAACTATACATTGAACTTATTTTAAATTAAAGGAATGAAATTTGCGTTTAGAGTAATTGCAAGTGCTGAAAAATCTTAAATGATTTCGTTAAAATTCTTTACTTTAAGAAAATTTAATCTGCATAAAATAGCGTTAGAATAATAGAAAATAATTCATTAAATACCTTGCATTATGTCTTATTATTACTTAGTTTTCTCATATTGGGTGTACAAATGAGTTTTGAGGAATTTACATCAGAGGACGTTACTAGTATTAAATCCTATCGGACAACCTTGAAACTATATTCATGTTAAAGCGTCTAAAAGCGTTTTCGTCAAAAAAATCAGTCTGTTCCATTTCACTGAAGTGTAAATAACAAACTTTCTTTCTGCTCAACCCGTCTGAACATTTCTACCAACAAAGCAAAATTTACGGGAAGCTCTTTTTTTTTTTTTTTTTTTTTTTTTTTTTTTTTAAATTTGAAGAAAACTGCAGCTGATGGACACCGATTGCTGTGGGAAACATATGGGAAACATGCTAAAAACAAGTGAGTACTGGTTCCGGCACTTTAAAAGTGGCGATTTTAACGCCAAAGAACGCGAAGGAAGGCCATTAAGGTTTGAAGACTGAGTTGGAGGGGTTACTGAACTAATATTTATGCCCCATCACTGGGCAACTTTACAAACAGTTGATGCAACCTAAGTCGAGCATTGAAGTTCAAACGCCCCCCAGTATGCCAAAAGACATGACAAAGTGATCTTTCAGCACGACAACGTTCGCCCACATGCTGCAACAGTCGTCAAGGAAACTTTGGGGCGTTTCAATGGAATGTCCTACCCCACACGCCGTATTCATCAGACATCGCCCCTTCCGACTTCCACTTGTTCCGATCGATGACTCATGACTTGGCCAAGCAGCACTTCACTTCCTACGAAGAAGCCAAAAATTGGGTCGGTTCTTGGATCGCCTGAAAAGACGAGGAATTTTTTAAACGCGGAATCCGTATGCTACCTGAAAGATGGGGAAAAGTCATAGCTAACGATGGTCAATACTTTGAATAAAATACATTCATTTGACATTCGCAAGCCCAGATATTTGATATTAACAACCACTGAGCTTCTGGACATGTCGAACAGTTCTGTGGTACCACCAGAACCTCAAATCAGCACCCCACTGAATCTCTTCTCAGGTGTATTGCTGCAAAAAGATAGAATTGAATAGGTATTGAAAAATTTGTAGAATAATTTGCCTTTTCAGTTCAAGCTTAGTGCGATTGAAAAACCTCCTTGATAATATTCCACAATTATAAAGCTTTGCTTACTTGACTAGTTGGCGAAAAATGAAAATCACAGAGGGAGCAGCTAGCTTTTGTTGGGGGTTAACAGTAACAACCCCACACGGGTATAGATAGCCATATAGTTCTAGTTAGTGTTAGCGTCGGATAATTCATAACCACTCTTCTGCTGTTGCTTACTGCATGACAGGCGCCCACAGATTTTAGACAAAACTAGCACAAGCATTCATACTTTATCACGATTTCAAATTTATCAGTTTAGTTACTATTTCATTAAATAAAACTGTCAATCAGACAGATTGTGATATCATTACTGAAATTGGCACACTTTTGAAGAAAAAGTTGCAACACTTGAAGTGTTTGAGAAATTGAAACACTTTAAACTGCGGCTGGCATTCGGACCTGTGACTTTTTGATTCGAGGACAGGTGTTCTTTCTCTACCAGAAGCTCTTAACTAATTTTGGATAAATTGTATTAAACTCCGATAAAGTAACCGTTTGGTAACCTATACAAATCGCACTTAGGAATAGCTATATAACGTTATTAAATCTCCCCGTGCGTGCTGTTATAACATAAGAGGTTACCATGGCCAAATGACAATTGAAAACTGTATTTTGTGTGTCGGTGGGAGCAACGGGGCTGATCTCATCATTCCAGTCTGTAAAAACGTGGTAGTCATCATCGTGGTACCAGAACTAAAATGTGGTGACTGGTTATCGTCTAGTGTTTCATATCGTTTTCTAATCACCTTTTAAGCGAGGCAGAATGTGAAGCATTATCGCATTCCACTGTAACTACTCTTGTGATGTAAGCGGCTGCTATATCCATCTGACACTTGAAAGCTCGTGGTTCGAATTTCCAGAGAAGTTACAGTTGGGTTTCTCATGTCTATCGGCTCTAAAAGGTTTAATGATATGTATGTGAGTTTGTAGAGTGTCCTTGCTGAGTACCATTAATAGAAACGGTAGTTGGATTTTGTAGTTTTAATAAGAGAACACGCGAACATAACACAGAGAAATGAAAAGTAGTAAGATGAAAAAAAAAATGAGTCCGTAACATCACGCTAATGGGGTGACATCACATCAAACGGTATCACAAAACAGTCCATAGTGGTAAATTGCTTCCTCAAACCGCATCATCCTGCTGCTTCTGCTTCCTCTCCCGTCTCCGTCTCAATAGCGGAATCGTCTGAATTCTGTCACAGCTTGTAGAACTATCTAGTTGTTGTTGAGGTTGCCAGTGTCGTAGATGTAAAAAAGAAGGATATTGCATTCCAGCCCACATGTATACAGTTGTTATCGTGATACTAAGTTACCATAATACAGTACAAGTGATAAGACATTCTCATAATAGGTACAAAGTATTGCACATTGCGAAAGATGTTAAATTTTTCAAAGAAACTACCCCTATATTTTTAATTACAGTTTCATAAAGATTGTGCTCAGTAATTCGGAATGTAAGAAATGAAAATGTAAATGAATACTACCGCATCCTCAAACAAATGACCGGGTTCCCATCTTGGATACAATCTCGAAGGAGGCATAGTTACAGTTTGGTTTTCCCCTGGTAGTAAGTACACCATGACGACAATATAATCTACAGATCTAAAAAAAAAACAAGAGAAGCTATTAGATCGCTCCAAGAGATTTTCAAAGCCTTTGCATGTTGTGCATACTTAATTCCACGAATACATTTACATTAGTGACATAAGTCCCAGCTCTTAGTCTTTTCGAAAATCTGTTAACTAGCAATTTATTTATAAAGAGGGAAACGTTTTCTTTATTTTTTATTCAAAAACACATTGACGATGTCAAACAAAATCACTTTATATAGTAATTAACAAAAGCACTTTATATAGTAATTAACACAATTACTCAATTTTTTAAAGATTCTTTTGTATTTAAATGTACTAGGCGAATATTTTAATATCTTCAGATACACCACCATCTAAACAATATATTTTAATTATTATGCATATGATTATCATAACTGCATGAGAATGATATAATATGATACCTGTATCCATGTTTTTGTATACTGTCGTTTTAAGAGTTCATGGGGTATTTAGCATATTTTGCTCAGAATATAATTTTCGATACTTATTATGTTTCATTTTGTTATTTAGAACAATGGCTAAAATTTTCTAATATGCGAATATAGGCATTGCTAAACTTCAGAAATAAATATAATAATGGGTATTATGCAAATGAAAGTAATAAATTTGTAAATAAATGATTGCATTTCTAAAATCTAAGCATAGGGTAGATCTAATAATACTGTTACGTTATTTTCTTCCTTCACGTTCGTACGGGGTTCGTGTGGATTTGGAGTGAATAACGACTACAGCACTTGATGGAATATCGAAACACACTTTATTTACCAATATTAATCAGGACAGCCCCAAAACACTTTTACAGTCGTCGAAGATCTACAACAAACACGCTGGAACAATCAGCGACACAACCTTCACACTGTCAGGCAATAACGGTGGAGACAGCTTCACTGTCAAGCACCCGAACGAGCAGAGTCGGGAGCTACACGAGTACAGCTCCCGACTCTGCTCGGTTGTTCTCGGAACTCCACGTACTCTCGAGACTCTCCGCGCTACAACTCGCGATGCTCTCGACGACACACAGAGCACAGCTCTCGACTCTTCGGTTCAGTCGTTCCCGGATCTCAACACACTCTCTCGACGATGCACTAACCGCGATACACTAAGAGACTCTTCGATGCACTCGACGACCCACTCGGCACTCGCAGCCCGGCTGTCAACTCGATCGACTCCGCACGGACTGACTAACTCGACACTAACTATCTCGCACTCTAGACGAGGCACTTTAACTTACTTATCCTTATCCTTATCCCTACGAATATCGCGCTAAGCGCGACGTCTCCGGCTCGATGATAAGCAAAGCCATAAAGGCACATGACGTTAGAATGCCGGACGAGTAACTTCCAGAGGAAATAATCCTAAACTGCAGAGGGAGGAGCCTAATGCATGGAAGGCTCTGAAAGCGGTCAGACATGAAGAAGTAGGCATGGCTACTAACCAGAGCAGGAACGCAGAATCCGGAGGGCAGTGCTATCTCCTGAGGCCCGAGCACACTAGAAATTAAGCAGTTCATCATACAGCGAAAAAAGGAGAAAATTAAAAGTCCGTTTTTATCATCTGCTCGACCATTCCCAGGGCAAGTAAAACTTTTTCCTGCGGCGATTCCAGCCCACCAGCGGCCGAGCGGTAAAATCGCTGAACACTGGTAGTTCGGTCCGAGGTTCGAATTCCGCGAACGGGCTGGCTGCATGGGCGTTTTCGTGGTTTTCCCCATGTGTAATATGTATACGAGCCAGTTTCCCTTAGAAAGTCCTCCACGAAGGCATCCCTCCTCTTAGGCAGATGGCCCTCGAGGCTTTGCCATAATCACACACACACACCTGCGGCGATTCCATTTTCTTACACTTTTCCACAAATTCCAGGAACATGACTGCAATAATCTGTAAGTTTTTATCCATCGCTGAATCCAATTTAGCTGGAGTGCTAGCATCTGGGTGGGATTTTAATGGCATACTACTTTCTTTCCGGGTTGGTTTTTTAGTCGGCGGAGGCAAATTCTCTGACTGCGGCTTCCGCGCTGATTCTTTTTCTTCTTGTCAGAGGCAACACGAACTTTTGGTCGAAATTCGCATAACTTCGAAGTAGCTATATGCTCCTTTTTACAGTTCGCGCAAGTAGGCTTCACCTCTTTGGCTAATTTGTAGGTGTAGGTCAGGTGCCCCTGCCCACACTTGAGGCATCTTGGCGAGTTGTTGCAAAACATCTGGCCGTGTCCGTAACGTTGACATATAAAGCAAATCATGTTGCTTAGATTGCATCTGTATCTTCTAAACTTGACCCTAAGGTCCAGCAGCGTTTTCTTTCTGTAGATAGTTCTGCTCTCATCATTCCTCTTGAATGAAGCTATGAAAACCGGCACTTAAACTGACTGCGGACCAGCAGGGTTTGTATAGCTTTCGGCTTGTGTTCAAGAACATTCTGAGCTAAATCGGTAAGAATTCGTTCCAGAAGGTTCTCCATCCGTCCATGGTATATCGCCAATTTTGACGCCAAATAGGGGATTGTTTGCCAATTGGCGGCAAAATTGGCGATATGCCAAATGGGCAATTTCTTGCGAAATGGGGCAACCCTGCCTTTCTTGCCATTTTATGGTAACCCTAAACCTGCTTTGTCGGGGAAGCTATCCCACCGCGCCTGGACATTTCGTAGCAATACTAAAATTATTTCATTAGGCATGGCAAAAGCTCATACTTGCTGATAGTTTCCACATCATAAGCCACTCTAGCTATATCTGGTTTGCCAGCTACTTTTACTGATAGAATCAATGACCTCCCTCCTTCATCGTTGAACACTGTTCTAATAACCTGCGGAAAATAAAACTGATTTTGCATATCAATTTCATTTAACATCATTCATTTATTTGGAAAAAAAGAGAACAGTTTGATATTGAAGTTTATTATAAGCATATTTTTATCATTTTACAGCTTTGCCACTTTAGGAAAAAATGTAAATGAAAAAGTAAAAAAAAAAAAAAAAAAAAAAAAAAAAAAAAAATACATACTAAAGAATATCGCGGATTGCCAAGATTCGATAGAATTGCAACTTGAATAAAACGCTTTGTACATAATGCAAGAAAAACTAGTGATAAGAAAGAAGGTCCACTAATAGCTTTAGAACTATTATAAACAGAAATTCATTGAGTGTATCCACTTAAATCATTTTGAAGAAGAAAGAAATCAGTTGCTTAAAGATCAGCCAAGAGCAAAGGCAAAATGTTTTAATGTCCTTTTGAAAAAGTTGTAATTTATTTTGTAAACTAAATATACACTGAGAGGTCAGATATTATTTTATCTTTTCCCTGCAATTATAAATTCCGTGGTTGCAAATGGTCCATGATATCAGTCAAAAACATTAAGTCTTGTAACCACTCGTCATCGTCTAATTCTGAATTCCTATTCTTTTAGAAAGGCAGTTATAGGATCAAACAAATCTACAAATCGATTTAATACATTGAAACTCAATAACCATCTAATAATGGAAAAGAAATTAATGACATTTGGAAGTTCTCCGTTCTTTAATTTTTCAAGAAAATTTTTGAGTTGTCGATGATTTTTTGCATTGATGCGAATGTAATTTACAATGTGTAACACTGTTTTCATAACATCAAGATATTTTAAATATTTTGTAATGAGTGAATTGGTATGAATTGTGAAATTGGAGAATCATCTCTTAAAACCCCCAAAAGACCGATTTTTTTACCCAGCATTGCCGAAGCTCTATCAGTTGCAATGCTTACAAGTTTATTAGGAGGCACATCAAAAGTTTTTATTATGGAATCTAATGCATTTTTAATATCGACACTGCGGGTTGGCTCTTGAAATGCTACTAAATCTAATAATTCTTCTTTAACAACGAAGTCAGGTGAAACAAAACGTATGAAAACTGCCAATTCCGGAAGATCTGTGATATCTGTCGATTCGTCAAGGGCTAAGTTGAATACAATATAGCTCTTCAAATCATTTTAAACTATATTCTAGAGATGTATTAATTGCAGTTATGCGTCGTGTTGTGTGTCTCGAGATGGAAATTTGGGAAACAACTTTGTGCAATGCTGCGTTATTTGGATCTAAAACTTTAAGTACATCTTCCAAGTTTTTTTTAATAAACTCTCCCTGTTTATACGGGCGTTTTGCATGAGCAGTATTTCAGGTACTCTCTTTCTTGAGTAGTTAAGGTAAACTGTTTCGAATTTAGAGTCACAATTACTTTGTAGGACAGACAATTCATTGAGTGTATTTCCTCAGAGAATATTCATCAAAAACATATTTCATCAACAAGGAAATATTAAATCGTCTTTGTTTAAATACAGCATATATATATATATAAATTAGTTGTTTTCAGATTTTAACATATTATGAAACAACTCATGAATCATTCATAAAACGGCAGTTATCGTTTTTCATTTCCTAAAAATCAAGTAACTTGTCAGATGAATAATCTAAGGAAAATAATAATAATAATAATCAATGTTATCTTACGTTTAGGAAAAAAGAAAAATTTAATTTCTCTTCCCGTTTCAGTGCGCTGTTTAAACTGCAAGGTGGGACACTGCAAACTGGAAATTCCCAATCAATTTCAAGTCCATCAAATCCGTATTTCTTCAAGAAGACAATGGCATCTTTTGCAAACGGAATCCAATATTTACAGTCACCTATCAGCTCAGAATATTTCTCAGTATTGTGACTGTCTTCCCAGCCTCCTAAGCTCAAGAGTATCTTAAGATTTTGATTCATTCTCTTAAGGCTTATGAGTCGCTGGAGAAGAAACAAAATATACATCTGAATGTCATGTAAGAAAAATGTTCAGTTATAGTTCATATTACAGTCACATACCTATTTTAATTATTTTTGTCAAATATAAGGAAAATACCAATCAATTCTATATCAAATTATATAATATATGAAATAAGAAACATTATAATTAAAGCAATTGAAATAATGCTGCAAATGTTATAAAAGTTATCAATTGATGCATTACAAATGAAATTCAGGAAATGCTCTTATATGCGCCCTCAGGTCGCCAAATTTCTCGCCAAACATTTTTCGCGAGAAACTCCAAAGTGTCATATTACTATCTAAATTAACATTAACCCTAAAATGTCTCTAAAAACGCTGTTGTCGCACATGCAGAAACCACGTTTTTAACACACAATTTAAGCTAAAAATCCGAAATAAAAACAAAAAAATTAGATAGCAAAAACGTAAAGTTTCTAACCAAAAATATTTGACAAGAATACAATGTACACAGCATTCTGTTTAAACTTTAAAAAAAATCTACGAATTGCACAATCTAGGCATTGCGCACAAATCAACCAAATAAACTAAAATAATTCAAGAAACAACAATAACAACAGAAATTCAAAGTAAAAAAACAATGAACATAACATTCTACAAAATAAAAACAGTAAAATAAAATGCACTAACCATAATACATTCCTGAATAAAATTTCGCCACTCACACAACGTCTGTGAACTAAATTGCCACGATTTTGCTATATCACATGCCTTTCTGCGATTCAAAATTTCAAAAAGTAACGATAAAAACTTCCTATGTTAACTTACTACACGAAAACCACAACCAAATCTTAAACTCCGCTGACAGTCACATACTTTAGCAGCAACCATTTGACTGCAAATCCACACAAGAACTATCAGAAACGCCCTTCTTCGTCCGAGTTCTCATAGCAGCTCCGCATTTCGGACTCTATTTCAAAAGAAGCTCTCTTAGCGTACCTGTACATTTCGTAACACTATATATGTATATATATCTGAAACTGCATATATATATATATATATGTGTGTGTGTGTGTGTAAGAAAAATAAAGAATATGTAAAATATGAAATTAGCAGAGAAAATTAGTTCCCTTCTGTATTCTAAAAATAGTAATCTTTATTTGCACTTTTACTTCGTTCAGTGGCATTGAAATTGGGAAAAGATTTCTGGCTGTTTCAATCCAGTCATTCGAAGTTTTTATTTTTTGTATAGTAAGTAACATACGCTAGGCTTCATTTCGAATCCTGTCGACATTTCTGTACTAGATTCTGCAGTAGAACGCAGGTGGTTGTATCCACAATGAACAGCTAGAATTTTGATGCCGTAGAATGCTGAAACGTTGATCCACAAGAAATAAGAAATTTGGCAGTTAAGGTATATTTAACTTTTATTTCAGTAAACATGTTGTGGCCGCAAACAAATTGGCACATTTATTGTGCCTATTCTAAAAAAGCTTACATTTTTGATAGATTTGAAGTAAAAAGAAGGAGCAGACAGACAGCAGTCCAGCTAAGCCAAAGCGGCGAAAGCAAGTGCGTTATGTTCAAAGTGAAATCTTAAATTCAGACTTGGTTTTGGTTCTCAATGCATTTTGATTGGATGGTTAATATTGCTGTAAAATTACTATTGGCTGTTTGAGTTTTAGTTTCATTTACATCATCAGAATTATGTAAGAGTCATATGACATAGATTTTTCTCGAAATGACGCAGTGCAAATAGAGGTTACTATTTTTAGAATACAGAAGGGAATTAGTTTTTCTCTGCTAATTTAATCTTTTACATATTCTTTATTTTTCTCGCATATATATGTATGTGTACACAGTTTCAGCTTAAGTCATAGAAAGAAGGTATATTTTCGCATAGCAGTAGTGTCAGGAAATTGACAGTTTTTCTTGAAACGTTAATTCAGTGTTACCATTGTAGTATTACCGCTAAATACTAGAGATGAAAGGCAGGTATGCGAGTTTATGTATTGTTACACCGATGATTAATAGAGAGAGTGTGAGGAATCAGCTAGACTGGGGGGGAGCTGGACAGCCAGCGGATGATAGGTGATGTAACCTGTACATATTGTGTAAGTTTCATATCTTCTTTTAGTATCTGAATTGTACTGCCCTTCATTTGTATTCATTTCCCATTGCCCCTTTGCTGTGTACATGAAAGACTTCACGGATTTTTGCATCTATCCATTTCATGTTTCGTACAGCTAACTAGCTGATACATTGTAGTAAATCTCCTATCTGACGCTCGAAAAACTTTTATAATTAACTCGGACTCGCGTCTACTTTTTCGATGGAATTGAAGAGTAAAATGCTATGGTAGCCACAGTAATTTGCCATACAGTTTCATTTTTTCGGCGATTACAGCGGCGCTTTTCGCTAACGTATACATAAAGCCAACGACCTATAACTCTCCCAAATTCAGATAAAAGCAAACTGGTTGCATGCCTGTTTCAAAGCCACGGTCAAAAGTCCTCTTCCTCTCTCTCGACAACTGGTGAGAAAGGCGAATTGCGAACGTCAACTATGATACTAAAGAAAATTGGTTTTGTGTGTTGAAATCATCTCCTACATGTGATCGACCAAACATTGCTCCAAAATCGACCAGTCGATCGCGATCAACTTGTTGGATATTCCCGATGAATCTAAGTTGGAATCCTTAGCAATATATAAAATCAGATAATAATTCTTTCCCTCTTTCTACATGCATTACCATTTTAGCAGTTACAGCTTATGATCATATTTAACGTCAGATTGCGAACATGCATACTCTGATATCTAAAGGCTGAGGATAAATATACTATCAATGCAATTGCTTATCACATGTTTTTGAAAATTTATTACTATTACTACTCTTTATTATTATTTAGGTACCCAGATATAATTTGTAAAAACCTGTTTCTGGCCTTAAAACCAAACTCAGATCATCGTTGTCTGTGAACAATTGCTCTACCAGCTACACATTTTGTTTTCATTAACTAGATTTAGTTACTATTATTTTTCTACGTAACCATAAAAGTCAGAAAATTCCGATTAAGATTTCTCGCATCCCCATAGCAAATGAAATAAAAGTACTTCGCGAAATTGTCACTGATTACTGAAGGAAAACATTTGCTGATACTCATACACAAGCCTCACCCATACACACTAGCATACAGAGTATTGGCCAGAAAAGATGAAATACTTCTCAAAGAAAACCATAAGCGAAACCTTAGCCTAATGAACTATTATGAGATTCGCAAATGAGGCCATGAGTTCAAACTTAGGTAAAGGAGTATAAAAATTAAGTTTATACTATATATGGATAATAAAATCACGCATTACTTTATAAAAATGCAGGTATATATCACGACTCCGAAAGGAGGGAATTATCCGCAGAGTTTTGGGATCTAGATGTGCGTATGTGTAGTGAATATGGGTACACAAGTAAGGATCCATATCTTCTGGTGTCAGAACTCTAGGATACGCGGCGTTGTTTTCGAAGTAGCAAACTACCTTTCTTTGAGATTTATATGGAGCTGAAAAGTAAATTAAAAAAAAAAAAAAAAAAAAAAAAAAAAAGGTCAGAATATTTTAATATACTCGTTTATACTGTAATTTAGACAACAATGAATAAATAAATTCAGTGAATGTGAATCAGAAAATTACTAAAATGGTAAAGCAAGAGGCACTTACGACAAGACACATTATTTGGTTCGTCACATTTTCTGGTCTCTGGGTTGAAGAGTTTTTTTCCGCAGGATCGTAACATAGGAATAAGATAAACACAGTCCCAATACATGTCACATGCTTCTACGTTAGGGAACATTCCCATAGGTGCAGGACATCTGAAGCGAAAATCTGCAATATTTTGTTGTTCTATATTAATTATCAACACTATTTAATTGAGCATCATATTCTAAACGATTCTTGTTGCTGTTGAATTCGTAGTGAAACAAGTGCTTTCTTAAAGCAACACTGTGTTGAGTTTTCTAAACGTTTCGCTTAGAAATGTTTATTACAAACTAATTAACTTTTATAACCTTGTAATGTTCGAACCTATAATTGACAGCTAAATGTGTGGAAACTTGGGAATTGGTAAGCGAATAATCGCTTTAGTTCTGTAGATAGAGAACAGAACTCAGGAAGGATTAAATATTCTTTTTCTCAAAATTAGAATTTAACAGTTGACTCCTTCTCGGAGTTTACACCAAAGCCTTAACTTTGGCTAGAACTAAGGAATACTAAGGAATCAAACTCTAAACTAAAAAGATATAGCCGAAGCTATCAAAATTCTACAAGACTTGGCCCCTTAACGCTAACTAAACGGCGAAGCTATCAAGGGCCTAAGGTACGGCCGAACGTAGAAATAGCTTTAAAGAGAGTAGCCTAAAAGGCGAAAGCGCGCTGGTCAGAATCTCTCGCTCTCTAACGAAGTCAGTAGAACTTCAATGTTAAATACTTTCTTCTCCTTCATTTGCGATTCTGAAAACACGTTCTGGCAAGAAATTGTAAGCTGAAATTAAGAGAGATAGGACAATGTCTTTAACTAAAAATAACTGTTAGCAGCTTAGGATAAACTTTACAGCCTTATTGTTAAAAATATATAAAACAGCTGTTGAGTCATATTAATTGAAATCTGCATGTTTTAATTTTCGTTAGTTCCCTGTTTTAAAATAAACATACACACACACAAAAAAAAAAATAATAATTTCAGGGTTTTAAAATAGTTTATACCGAGATGAAATATTAAGTTACAGCTAAAGTTTCCAGATGTGTAAAAAAAACGAAAGGTTTATTACTAACAGCCTTAAAAAAGAAAGGGAATATTGTAGGGTATGGGTGAATATATTGTAGGGTTGGGCGCTCAGCGCCGACATTACGGGGGTAATTGTAATATTTATCTTTCTCTATGTATATTGTTACGTTTTTTTATTGTTATGACACCAGTTGTTACGTTATTTTCTTCCTTCACGTTCGTACGGGCTTCGTAGATTTGGAGTGAATGACAACGACACTGGATGAAGTATCGAAACACACTTTATTTATCAGTATTAATCAGGACAGCTCCAAAACACTTTTGCATTCGTCGAAGATCTACTATAAACACGCTGGAACAATCAGCGACACAGCCTTCACACTGTCAGGCAATAACGGTGGAGACAGCTTCCTGCAAAGCACCCGACTCTGCTTTCCGGAGTACAGCTCCCGACTCTGCTTGGTCGTTCTCGGAACTCGACGTACTCTCGAGACCCTCCACGCTACAATTCGCTATGCACTCGACGACACACGAGCCTAGCTCCCGACTCTTCGGTTCAGTCATTTCCGGAGCTCAACACGCTCTGTCGACGATGCACTAACCGCGCTACACTAACAGACTCCTTCGGTGCACGCGACTACCCACTCGGCACTCGCTGCCCGGCTGTCAACTCGATCGACTCCACAGGGATTGACTCGCTAGACGAGACACACTCGATACTATCTCTCTCGCACTCTATGCGAGGCACATACACTCTCGTAACTAACTCTCCGCGTACCAGCAGGGCTTATATATAGCTTTTGACTGATGTTCGAGAACATTCTAGGCTAAACCGGTAAGAATTCGTTCCAAAAGGTTCTACAACCGTCCACGGTATATCGCCAATTTTGTCGCCAAATATCGTCTAATGGGCGATTTCTCGCCAAATATGCCAACCCTGCCTTCTCCTGCCATTTTATGGCAACCCTAAAACTGCTTTGCGGGGAAGATATCTTTCCGCACCTTTTCATTTCATAACAATATGTATACGTTACGTTCTCTCTCTCTCTATATATATACGTTATATAAATTATTTTTTGCATATAATTCATCCAAAAATAAAATTTTATTTCAAATTCTATTATAAAAAATAGAAACTTTTTGAGCGGTTTTCGGAAATGTATTGAACTAGAAGTGGTCTAAAACAGAATATCGCTATCTTGCGGGTATTTCAGTGCCCGCTCCAACCAGAATTCGATACAATATTTACAAGCCTAATACCATAGGAATATTTACAGAATGCGAGACATTTTCCTTCGCATATATGGAGTAGCCTGCACTGTTCGGCATGTTTTCTTACTTTCCTCACGTATTAAAATTTCCATTTTTCTGATGGGTGATAAGCATTTTCTGATTTTGAAAGCCTAGAAGATTTTACACAGCAACCTTATTCCAGTTTATTTATTTCATGCCATAAAATAACTTAAATAAAATAATAATAATAATAATAATAAATATATAAATAATAATAATAAATAATAAGATATTTATGCAGTTTATAACTGCTTTTAATACAGCTCTGATTATAGTCCATTTAAAATAGTTTTTTTTTTTTTTTTCAATACAGTTTTTCATCAATTTAAAATATTATCTATGTTATAGTAATCATTTTCATTATTGATTAACACTGACATCAATAAGTTAGTTCTTAGAATTCTTTTCCAAAAAATAAGGTTTCAAAACATTACGAGGCCTGCTGTGGTCTTGAATGGATCCTCTAGCACAAGAAGTTTCTTCCCTGGCCACACATTCAAGTCTGCTCGGATCAAACGCTTCCCCTGGAGGGCATCGCTTCACCACAGGATGGTTATTTGTGCACTGAATATATTTTCGGCAATCGATTCGATATGCAAATTTGCCGTCTTTTTCTGGACAATGGAAGACTGAAAAAGAGAAAACAATCGTTTTAACTTTCGGTTGATAAATTTACATCACTTTACAAAATAACTGAATGATGTCAGTAATCGAAATCACTTACTAATCACAAATTTAATGATTGGGATCCGGGAGATATTGAAACCATAGCTCAAACAATATATATATATGTGTGTGTGTGTGTGTGTGATGATAAAATTTAGTTCTTATAGTAAATTGATGAGAAATGAAGCTTGACTAGGGAAGGCATTATTTTGCAGTCTCGAGTGGAATAATGATTAGAAGATCACTGGAAATATCAGTCATGTAACATAAGATGCAGGGAACTTTTAAACAATCACTAAAATCACTTGATATTCCAACTATATTATTTGTTGCACTTCACAATGGAGACCGATTTGCACCCCACAATTTTGATGATGGCTCATTACATTTTTAACCAAAGCAGAAAAGCAGAACACGTCCTTCGGCCAGCAAGCACAAGCAGAGAAAGAGCGTGGGGTAGGATTGCAACAATATATATAGCAAAATATTTCGCTAATCTGATCGGCTAAAACTTATAGGCAATGCAGAAGTTTCAAGATGACATAATGCGGAATACGTTTTCAGATATGACGCAGTTTAGAAAAAGTAATTACTAGAGACAAAGTACCCAAAATAAAAATGAGCAATTAAGAGGCATTTTAAATTATAATTTTGATTTGCATTTTTTATCTTACATATATATATGTAGTAAATTAAAATGCAAAGATGAAGACACTGGAACTTTTAACATGCGATATTGCGCAGATGGCTGTGAAGACAGTAATGGCTGAGGGTGAAGGCTTCATGAAGCAGATAATAAAACTGAATTGAAGAATCGTCCTCCTTATTTTTACACATCTCAAATCATCTCTTTGGCAGACAAATTAACTTTTCAATCATATTTGAATACAATAACTTCTTATATACGCAGATAATGTAATACTACATCATTTCAGGCTGGAAAGCAAAACCCGCGCAGAGTTGTTTGCATAGCGCAAGACAGGTAGAAAAAGGGACTTAGTTCCTCGATAAGTTGTATTTATACTACGTAGGCGCAGAAAGTCTTCTAAGCTAATGATAGGTCAATATTTGTTTTAGTTATCCTTTTCAAGCAGCGTTGTGTAATTTGGAAGGATCTCGAATTTGGGAGAACAGATGAATTTAGGGGAAAGCACCAAATCTAGAATCGTTAATTCTGAGGTCGTCAATTATTTTTTTCAGCAGCTATCATATTTTGTTATATGTTACACACGCACATATATATATGTATATAAGAAAAATAAGGAATATGTAAAAAGATTAAATTAGCAGCGAAAATTAATTCTCTTCTGTATTCTAAAAATAGTAACTTCTATTTGCACTGCGTCATTTCGAGAAAATTCTATGTCATATGATTCTTACATAATTCTGATGATGTAAATGAAACTAAAACTCAAACAGCCAATAGTAATTTTACAGCGATATTTACCATCCAATCAAAATGCATTGAGAACCAAAACTAAGTCTGAATTAAGATTTCACTTTGAACATAACGCTTTCAAAGCTTTGGCCTAGCTGGACTGCTGTCTATCTGCTGCTTTGGCCTAGCTGGACTGCTGTCTATCTGCTGCTTCTTTCTTGCTACAAAGTTATCAAAAATGTAAACTTTTCCAAATAGGCAGAATAAATGTGCCAACTTGTTTGTGGACACAACATGTTTACTGAAATAAACATTAAATTAAATATACCTTGACTGCCAAATTTCTTACTCCTTGTGGATCGGCGTTTCAGCATTCTACGGCATCGAAATTTTAGCTGTTCCTTGTGGACACAATCACTTGCGTTCTACTACGGAATCTATCACATGTATATATACATATATTTATATATGTGTGTGTGTTTCGATATATATAACATGCAAGATAAAAAATATGTAAATCAAAATTAATCCTGTAATTTCCCCTCTCTGTTCTAAAATTGTACCTTTTCTGGACTTTGTCATTTCTAGATCAATCCATTTTGCATGGCTTACGTATCTCTAATGATATAACTAATTCGGAACTTACGATTTCGAGAACTGAAATCTTTCTAACCTAAACCGAAACCTTCTCTTCGTGAACCTCCATACTGGATAACTGCGCATTTTTTAGCTTTAGCTCTCCTGCAGTCAAGATTCCACCTTGTTTCGTTTGCTTTGTCGTGCTACTAACTATGCCATCATTTAAAATGTGATACTGTATATAAAATTGTGAGGTGAGTATTGCACTCATGATCACTTGTGATGAAGAATATGTTTTTGGTAATTAATACACCAATAAATGTTACATTCAATTCGGCTACGTCTGTCTACAAGTCTTTTCTTCGAGTGTCATCTTTCTAACTACCCAGTAAAATCTTCCCAGGATATAAAGCAGATAACCACCGTCAGTCTGTTGCAGCTTTCTTCAAGTCATCTTATTACATATGTATACGTAATGATTTTGAATGCGCAATCGAACGCTGGAACTGTTAACAGCTTTCGATATCAGTCATGGCTGTGGTTAAGTCATACAGATGAAGGCAACAAACCTGAATTTCGACAAATCACCAGTATTTATTTTCACACATATCCAATTACTTGAGCAGACTCTTATTCAGTCATAATTAAATATGATAAATTTCTGCGTACATTGGTTTTAACGAGAAATGATGTAGTTAGTTAAGCAAAGGTAAAGCAACGCGATATTGACAGAGCGGCAGCGAGGGAAGGGAAGAAGAATGACGCAATTAGCATGCCAGGCTATTTATACGAAATCGGAGGTATAAGTCGAGCTAGTCTGTGATTGGTTAATATTAGTTTTGGTTACCCTTTTCCAGTAGCTTTGCATAACATAGAAAGATCTCGAATTTGGGAGAACAGAGGAATTTAGGGGGAGAACACCAAATCTAGAATGTTAATATTGAGATCGCCAATTATTTTTAAAGCAGCTTTCGTATTTTTTAATACCTTACTATCTTTTTTATAACTTATCTATTTTTTTATATCTGTGGAAGTACATATATACGAGGGTAAGTTGAAAAATAAGTTTCCCCTGTCGACTGTGGCCAGAGTTGTGTATGAAAGTCAAAAAATAGAATGAGACATTAAAGATATGACGTACCTTTATTTTTCCACATAGGTACCAAGTACATTGAGACATTTGTCATATCGCTTGATAAGCTTCAAAAAGCCCTCCAGGAAAAAATCAGGGCTTTGCATATGGAAGAAGCGTTGAACGGCTTGTTTCACTTCAGTATTGCTTCCAAAGCGCCTTCCCCCGAGATTTTTCTTCAAAGCCGGAAACAGATGGAAGTCGCTTGGTGCGAGATCAGGACTGTATGGCGGATGGTGTAGGCGCTCCCAACCAAGAGTTGCAATATGGTTTTGCGTTGCCGTCGCCGAATGTGGTCTGGCATTGTCATCCAACATCAGAACGCCAGATGTGAGTCGAGGTCAATTGTCGGGGCACCCATCGCGCTGACACTTTTCTGTATCGAAGAATGTCGTGGATGATGTTTTGAGCTCGCTCATGTGAGATTCCAAGTTCTTCCGCTACTTCATCGATGGTGATACGCCGGTTCGCTCTAATAATGTCATCCACCTTCCTGACATTTGCATCTGTAGTGGCCGTGCGCGTCCGTCCAGCTCTCGGTATGTCCTCCACTTGCTGACGTCCATCACTGAATGTGCGACACCATTTCCGCACCATTTGCTTCGACATCACACCTGGCCCATAGACTTCCACGAGGCGGTTATGAATTTCTGTTCCTGATACTCCACGTTCTCATTCATAGCGGATAAATCTCGAGGAAAGGCGCTTTGGAAGCAATACTGAAGTGAAACAAGCCGTTCAACGCTTCTTCCATATTCAAAGCCCTGATTTTTTTCCTGGAGGGCTTTTTGAAGCTTATCAAGCGATATGACAAATGTCTCAACGCACTCGTACAAGAATAATAAAATAAAGGTATGTCATATCTTTAATGTCTCATTCTATTTTTTTGTCTTTCATACACAACTCTGACCACAGTCGACAGAGGAAACTTATTTTTCAACTTACCTACGTATATATCTTCCACAGTAGTTGTAATATAATAATGAATATATAATGTAAGATTAAAGTAATTATGTTAATATAATCTTCTATTTATATTTATTAAAATTAGGAAAATGTAAAATATATTTGTAGATTTTTCCCAGCATAAAAATCAAAGAGCGTCTAATTAAAGAATGTTCTGTTTTTCTTTTCCTGATTACATGTATAAATTAATGATTTTCTTGTAAGCGGGTTAAAATCAGGTTTATTAGATTCGTAGTACTGGATTATTTTCCAATATATTGGATTATTATTCAATTATATTATATTCTTAGTTGTACTGGTATTTATTAGATTTGTAGTAGTATTCGTTTTTAATTTTGAGGGAAATTTTGGTCTTCTGATATTTGTAGCGATTGAGGAAATTCAAGTAACATTAAATAGAGAGTAAGTAAAATCACTTTATCAACATTTCTTACAATTAATCTATCCAGTTCAGAGCAAGTTTTAAGTTAGAACATATTGTAAAGCATCAGACAAGTGTATGCCGTAATGTAAGACTCCTCTGTGAGTATCGTATATATGATCTTGACACATAAAGCATGTACATTATTTTATTTTAAAAATATTAAAACATATAATATAATTTAAATCCCGAGAAATTCAATTGAATTTTTTAAATATAAATTACGGAATTTATTAAAGATACTACTCAACGATAATAACTATTTTTAAGGCACTGTTTGAAATGATCAAACAGTTTCAAATCAGGAAATATATTTGAAAATTCTATTGACAAAAGCCAAACATTTTGTATAAGGAGTATACCTCTAAAACATTTTCCAAATAAAATTCTATGCAGTTTATTTATAGTTATATTCAAATTCAGATATGATTCGGCTTACGCTAAGTTTAGGTTCCTATTTTTTATGTAAAATTAAGATATATAAATTCAAAAATGTATGCAGTTAATCAAAATTATTGATGCGTTTTCAAATGCTTTTTGTTTAAATCTTTTTGTATCAAGCAATGTATATCCTTTTTATTGTCTGAAATTTATACATTTTCACCAAAGTTACGAAACAGTTACAGATTTAAATAAAGTTATTAATTGTATAGTAGCCCAGTAATCCTTTTTTAATTGTTAACAAGGAAGCAATAATGTTGTTTATGAGACTAAAGTGGTTTTTTTTGATTTCAAAGAATTGGGCTAATTTACCATTTTCCGCTTACTTTTTTAACTTTTCTGTTTTTAATTTTATAATGTTTTACATCACTAATGATTTGATTTTCATGTGTATTAATTTTTTGAAAACGTGTTAAACCTTTTGGAGCAGCAGCTCTTGGTAACTTTTAGGCGAGCTTACACAATTTTTATTTTACTTATTTGCAGCATTGCGCAAGATGTTTTCTAGACCAAAATTGGTTTTTTTAAAAATTGTTACTTACTGCTTTGCTTGATAAATTATTGTAATTATATATATATATACTATTATATATATTATTATATAATAACTGTTATAAAATTATAATATTTATACTATTATTATTATATATAATAATAAATATATTTGAAAATAATAATATATTTAATACTTATTTTCAAAAAAATTCTTCTTTGAAAATAAGTAACGCTACTTATTTTCAAAGGAAAATACCACTCTTATTATACACAGTAATAAATGCAACTGAACATTGTGAGGTATGTCAGTGTCTTGAAGTAGCAAATAGGTGTCCCATCTTCAATACAACGTTTTGGAAATGATACTTCCAATACAATAAGGGTATTTCCTCCTTTCTCAGGTACTCTTGTCTGAAAATAATCACATAAAATCCCCACTAACTAATCTCCAAAAACAAATCAATCAAAGATTTCTAATTAAATGTAATCAGTATCCGAAGTTTCAAAAAGTTATACAATGACTCTCTTCGTACGGTCTAGATCTCTGTCAAGTGTAATATAACGTGACTCGTGCATAAATTTAATGAACTTTTACATCCTATGAAAATGTTCGAAAGGATTCCACTTGTGAACTTTGTAAACAACAATAACCTGCTACAGCACACCATTTTAATTATCCCTTTTTTTTTTCTTTTTAAAAATTGTGTTGATTTTTAGTCAAAATTATTTTCTGTATTCCCAGTTTTTTTATTCTCGAATCAATGAGCTCTCAGAATTTTACCCCCAGTAATTTTGATGTTATTGTTAAACGATTTGATCCAGTGAACACGACTTTAGTATTATTATTACAGTTCATTATAAAACTGTGTTTCCAGTGCTTATTATATTTATCTCATTATGTTTATCTGTTATTTTTGTTACATCAAAGTAGATGTTCTCAAATTAATTTATGAATTTCAAATTGTATTGAAACTTCTTTATGTCCTAAATTAGTAGTTTTAATAAATTATGGATGCGGAGGATATGGTGAGATTGCACGATGTACCATAGGTAAACAATAGATCCTTAGGAAAGCTTCATTTGCTCATTTTCCTTATTTTTCTTTGTGAGCTTTAATAAAGCTTGTATTTTTTTCCTATCGTTAGTATGAGAAGGCATTACCAGTTGGCCCATGGACATTGCTTGTATCCTCCATATTTTTACCCGTACCTGTACCTAAACCTGGTACTTTTTCTTACATTAAAGTCACTTTAAATATTTATGCAGCAATTTAACAAAAGTCAAAATTAAGCGAGAAATATTAAAAGGAATTTATTAAAAATCTAATACGAGAACTATGGTTAAAATGCGAGATGTGTGAAAACCAAAATCACGATAGCAGTGGATAGTATAACAAAAACAAAAACAAAACAAAAAATTGGAACCTAGACATATAATCAGATAATTATAAGCGAGAAAAACTTACTGCACTTAGCTTGCCAATTGTCCACACATTTTCTTGAAAGGTAATGAAAAAGTTTTCCAGTTGGACATTTTCGAATTATCGGTATATTATTTTCACAGGAATAATAAATGGAACAATCGTGTAAGTCTCCAAAATCACCGTTTTCGGAAGGACATCTGAAATCTATAAGAAAACAGTACATTCTTCTACATATTAAAACTGTAAAAGGATAACAGCATATTTTACTTAACTTAGTATACGAGGTGTGACACTAAAAACAAAAAAAAACGAGACAATGTGTGCAGTTTGAAAACAGAGTGGAGTTGGCAACAACTGCTTTGATGACGTCATGCCACATACCTCCTCAATCCACGCGGCCAGTTTCGACTTAACCGACAACGCCAGTGGGGAGTACTACGTCATTGAGTGAACACGCGCAACTCATTCTGCCGGAAAAAATGTCTAATATAAAAATCATACAGCGAATCAACATCAAGATTCTTGCAAAACAGGAGAAATCAGCCACGAAGGAAACATTTCAATTGTTAACCGAGACTTATGAAGATGAAACTTTGTCTCATGCACGTGTGTTTGAAGGACATAAGCGGTTTTCAGCGAGAAAGGACAGTGTGGAAAATGATGAACGTGCTTTCATCATGATTGAATGGGTTCCCAGTGGTCAGACTGTTAATCAACACTACTACACTGAAGTACTAAGAATACTTCGGGAAAATATTAGGGGAAGAAACGGCCATGGCTGTGGATTGATGGATGGCTGTTGCACCAAAACAATGCAACCCGCTCACACGGTCCTATCTGTCAAGCCGTTTCTGACCAGCTAAAACATTACTGTGATGGGGCATCCTTCTTATTCACCTGATTTGGCTCCATACGACTTTTTTTTATTTACTAAAGGTTAATACTTACTTAAAGGAAACCTATGTTACCTCAGCTGAAGAGGTTCAGGCAAAAACGGAGAATCTCCTGAAGGGTCTTTCAAAAACCTCGTTCCAGAACTGTTATCAGCAATGGCATTTTCAAATTGTTGATAATTCTACAACTATTGCATGGAAATTAACTGAAGGCATAAAAAACTTAACCAGAACATAAAACCAACATAATTCAATCATTTTTTTAAAACCAAAAATATTTTATTTCTTTATTTTTAAATCATTTCTAAAGCAAATAAAATAAATAAATAAATAAATAAATAAATAAAAAAAAATAAAAAAAATAAATAAATAAATAAATAAAATAAATAAATAAATAAAATAAAAATAATAAATAATAAAAATAAATAATAAAAATAAATAAATAAATAAATAAAAATAAAAAAAGGACACACACACACACATATATATATGTTTGCTGCGACCGATTGCAATAAAAAAGGGAGGTGCCTAACTACATGTTATAGCAGTCCCATATACAAAATTTCAAAGTTCTCTCGTTCTTGAGTTATACGAGATACATGAATAGCTTTCATTCCAGACCTTGACTGTGAGTTGTGATATTTTTAATTAAAAGGAAAATTGTACGATAAATTACCTCACAGTCACTACAATTATTTTGAGGCGATCTAGTAATTTAAAGTGACAGAAAATCTGTTTAATATCTACTATATCAGCAAATGCATATCCAACATTTAAGAAATATATAAAATATTGTTTAATGACGCCTTTTTAATTCAAATTAAATTTTGGTACCAATTCGTAACTTATTTGTTCGGAATTTTTACAGAGCTTCATGGAATTATGAGTAATCCTGTATTTTAAGAAGCTTTAGCTAGTTGCAATACTTTTTTTACTTTCTTGTGCGAAGTGAAGGAAGTATTTTAATAACGAAAAATTTCGGGATAATATTTCGACGAAAATATCCATTTTGACCGCTCTCGAATCCATTTGAACAATTTTTTTCGTGACATCTGTACATAAGGACAGTAGAAAGCACTTTTTTTTTTCAAAACAGATTGTAGAAGGGATTTAAAATGTATTCAGAATAGAACTTACCTACAGATGTCACAAAATACGAGATATCTGACCTAACTAAAAAACGAACAGCCGTAGAACGTTGAAATGTTGTAGTATATGAGACAGATGTAACATCTAGCTGTACACTTTCCTTTTTACTTGGATCGTAGAGTGCGTATATATATGTATACCACCCGCTGTTTTACCCGGTTTGGTGAGCTCTTATATTATTCTTATATTTTTCGGTAAAAATTGTGCATACTTTTTTGCTTTAAAAAGTGATTCAGTTACGTTGTGCATATGCCTTTGTTAAGATTTTCATTCTTTTAGTTAATATGCAAGAAGTTGTAGAACTATCAACAGTTTAAAAATTTAAGTGGTTTTAGGCCAAAGGAAGCCGCCATTTGCTTACATTTGAAACTCTTAGTGGAGCAGTGATTTAGAAACAGTTCTTGCACCAAGTTCAGTGACTTTTTGACCAGTGGGAGCAAAACTTAACTTTTCATTTTGGTGGGCCAAAAATTTTGGATTCGAGTCTGTTGGTCGAATTGCTTGTTTTTGCATGCCAATTCTAATTTTAGTTGCAATTTTTTTTCTTTAACTGATTTTAAGTGTATTTACTGTTTTAGGTTTTTCTTAATTTTACTATTTTTAGTGGAGATGTTTTGAGTACTTATGTATTTTTGGCTTGCCGAGAAGTGAGAAGTGAATTGATTGAATGAGATATATATCTCTAATGAAATTCGAGGAAATAAATTTAAATGAAGAGCAGCAAAAAATGTGTATAATTTAATAGACCATACAAGGAAGTCATGTGGTGTCCACGTCAACCCTTTTCCTTGTGTGTAAACTGTACATATTTGTGCTTCAGGAAGTAGTATATTATATGGCACAAATAAACTGTACCATTAACATAATACATAAATTATAATCACCTAGCCAAAAGAAAAAGGAAAGGGAAATAATTAGTTATCGTATAAAAATTAAAGGCCTTTCCAATATGACAGGCTACACGGTTTTTACATATGGCTTTAAATTAAATGGTCATGTGGGAGCAGCTTTTTGTGTGTTCTCAGATGAGAAACTAAGCTTACAAAGGAAATATAGACTTTCTGGCAATGCTTCTGTCTATCAGGCAGAGTTAGCGGCCCTGCGAGAGGACTTATATTGGCTTATTTCTAATTCTGTGATAGATCCTGTAGAAACCTATAGTGACTGCGAAAGCGCAATTGTTTCAATTACGGATGTTTGTCCAAATAACGATCTAATTAAATAAATAAAAGACATGGTCATTTTTCTTAGCGCTTTCAGAGATATTAAACTCTTTTGGACAAAGAGTCATATTGGTACCATTGGTAACGAGTTAGCAGATAGATTGGCAAAGGCTGCCACTGAAAATTAAATTATTGATTTTGAAGTAAAGACTTCCTTTGACAGTTTGAAATCCTTGTTGAAAAGAAAAGGTTTGACTCTATGGCAAGCACAGTGGAACGACCCAGATTCACATATAATTTAATCTCAATTGTAAGTGAGAGAAGGTGCTTAAGTGACAAGTATCTAAACCAAGCTTTAACTAATCATGGACACTTTCCCTTTTATTATGATAGGTTTTCGATTAAATATTGTGGCTGACCATGCGGCATGAGTAATATCGATATTGAGCACTTGTTGTTTAGATGCTCTTCTATAAAAAATATTGTTCTAAGATTTATTCCAGATATTGCTAAATTTAATACTCTAAAGGATCTAAGTAAAAATACAGTGACTAAATTGAGATTGTCAAATTTCATAAAATATGTACCTGCAAATGAAATGAATTTATATATCGATTGTGTTAAAAATTTCCCTGTCTCTTTTAAGGAAAACTAGCACGTTTATGATGTTCTGTTATTTTATTCCTTTGTATATGTAAGTAACATATTTTTATGCATTTGTTATTTTTATACATTTTATGTAAGTAGCATTTGTTATATTTTACAAAGCATGTAATAATGTGCTTTTGTTGGTGTAGCTGGTAAATCTCACCAACTCTAGACTTTAAGTTCATATTTTAGTTGCTTATTCTGTTTAAAGTTATTTCAGGTAGTATGGTGGTAGTTCTACTGCTTAATGGGCCTCATTGAGGACTTGTTTTAGATCTCAATGTTTCTTTAATTAAATAGCTCCACTAAGCCCTGTTAAGCCTCTAATGGCTGTACAGGAAGTTCGACCGGTCATAAAAATTAAAATCTTTTTAATCTAAATTAAGAAAAAAGTTCTAGGAAGCGGAAATTGCCTCTTTAGTTCTTAAAAGTTAAAAAAACATTAATGGATAGCCGTGACTGAGATCTTGATTCACGGCTATCAGAAATGCCCATTGCCATTTAAAGTCTCTTTCACTTCATATATTTCTTAAAATTGCGATGTCTGTACAAACACGGAGTTAATTTTAAACTAAAATTCCCTCTGCGAAAATTTGTAGAGAAAAATTATTTTGTCATCTACGTTCTCTGTTCCAAATCTTTTTTATAAAAGCTCTTTCAGTGAGAATGATGGAATTTAAATCAATATGAAACTTCACTGCTAACTTCGTTAAATGCATTAGCATTTCCAAAATGTCCACGAAGCTCAGTGAAAAGCAAGTGAAAGTACATTTTAAGACGTTGAAGAATTCTAATAACTGCCTGACTTTCAACAATAGATGGTGTGTGTATCTGATTACGGCAAAATACTCGAGAGCTATCTGCCTAAGGGAGAGATGTCTTCGTGGAGAACTTTCTAAGGGAAACTGGCTTGTATACACGTTAGACATGGGAAAAGCCACAAAAACGCCCATGCAGCCAGCCGTTCGCGAGATTCTAACCTCAGACCGAAGTACCAGTGTTCAGCGACTTTACCGCTCGGCCTCTGGTGGGCGAGTTTCAGCAATAACTTTCTGTAAGTCACTAATTTTCTTTTAAAACTGTTCAGCGGAAAAAGAATCATTGCATATTAAAACCCGAAGTTTAAAATCGTAAAAAACGAAAGTTAAAAAAAAATTTTTGTGCTTTAGTTTTATTTCAATAAATGCATTTTAAATATTTAAACTGCGTAATTATTATTAAATAAAATGCAATGGACGTAAAAATAACTTTACGACTTTTATGAGCTTTTAAACACATATTTTTCCTATAGAGAAAAGCAGGCCTATTATCTGGATGTTTTGAATATCCGGAGTAGATATTGTCATAGTTATAAGATCCAAAAGACCCAGTTATTCTGCTTATTTGGATGTAGAAAAGTGAAAACTGAGATCAGAATTATCTTCACAGATGATGCTATCATAAAAAATGCTACGCTGTCATTAAAACATATATGCTATCATTAAAATGATGATGATGATGCTATCATTAAAAAAAAATTTAGTTAAGAGTTTACAACTTTAAAATAAAAATTTACCTTTTCAATTATTGAAATTTAAAATAAATGACATTTATTTGAATATATGTTACTTACAAGGAGCCTTCCAGCCACATTCTTCCGCTTAAAAATGAAAAACAAATAATTCATTAATACATCTATTTCATCAACAAGAATTTTATAAAAATTTTCCTAGTCATATATTGATACATAAAATTTCAGAATAGTAATGAAAAGCAAATATAAAGAAAAAGCGATAGAAACCGCCTGGTTGGCTATAAACGAAGACCGATTATTTTAAAACCACAGTGTGGACGAAACGAGCTTTGCGAAGGGTTATAGTGAGTCCACCAAAATCCCAAAGAAGGTTTGTTAGCACACTTATGTCAATAATGCCTTCATATGTCAATCTGATGTCTTATGTCACATTATGTCAATCTTATGTCTTATGTCAATCTTATGTCTTAGGTGATCTCAAAAATTTAAGGCTGGTTGGGATGGTACAAGACGTTTTAATTTCATGATGTTTGTCGCAAAGGTACTGTTTGCTAGAACGACGACGCATGATGTTAGGATAGGCTTTATTGCCACTAGCACTCTTATAACCTCACGCGAACAATTAAGAAGTAAATATTGTTGCGTTTTTTTCTTTTCTGACAGTTGTTACATTATTTTCTTCCTTCACGTATGGATTCGTATGGATTTGGAGTGAATAAGGACCACACTACTTGATGAAGTATCCAAACACACTTTATTAGCCAGTATTGATCAGGACAGCTCCAAAGTCACGTTTTACAGTTTTCGAAGATCTATTATAAACACGCTGACACGATCAGCGGCACAGCCTCCAGGTTATCAGGCTATCACGGTGCAGACGGCTTCACGGAAATGCACTTGAGTACAGCTCGCGACTCTGCTTGGTTGTTCTCAGAACTCCACGTACTCTTCAGACTCTCCACGCTACAACTCGCGATGCACTCGACGACACACGAGCACAGCTCCCGATCCTTCGGTTCCGTCGTTCCCGGAGCTCAACACGCTGTCTCGATGATGCACTAACCGCGATACACTACGAGACTCTTTCGGTGCACTCGACGATTCACTCGGCATTCGTTGCCCTGCTGTCAACTCGATCGACTCCGCACGGACTGACTCGATAGACGAGACACGCTCTCAATACTACTCGATAAGAGACACCCTCACTCGCCCTCTCGACGAGGCGCTCACTATCAGCTCGCTAGGCGAGGCACACACACTAACTGACTGCGCACCAGCAGGGTTTGTATAGCTTTCGGCTTGTGTTCGGGAACATTCTGGGGCTAAACTGGTAAGAATTCGTTCCAGAAGATTCTCCATCCGTCCATAGTATACCGCCAATTTTATCGCCAAATGGGGCAACCCTGCCTTCCCTTGCTATTTTATGGCAACCCTAAAATTGCTTTGTGGGGAAGCCATCTCGCCGCGCCTTTACATTTCGTAACAATATCTTCATTTATTTATGCATTTTTGATTAAATTTGCTTATTTCCTGATTGGTAGCTGAGATTTATTACAGATATGTTTATCTTAAACTCATCAAAAGCATCTTAAAAAATGTACTTTTTATGAAATTGTTTTCACAGGTCCTACTTTTTTTTTTTGTTTTGTTTTTTTTTTGTTTTTTGTTTTGTGTTTATATAATCTTAAATTTGTTACTATAATACATTGTTGCAAGCTACACGGGTTCGTGACTGTCCCTTTAAATAATTACTCCGAATGAGAATTGACAATTTATTATAAATAATAATGACGCACAACAAAATGCAAAAAGTGAAATGAAACAATTCCTAATTAGCATACGAAAATATCGTAAGGCCCTCAAACCGCTTTCAAAATAAAATATTTATGGCAGTTCATGTTGAACATGGCAGTTCTCTTTGAATTGCTAACTCTCACAGCTAATTAATAGTTTATTCGTCTTGACTCTTCAAGCCATATTTATGTAACGTTGCATTGATATAGATATGGTGCAGCACGGCTTCTGGAAGCTTCGGGGAAAATCTATCGCAAGGTTTCTAAATTGCGTTTTTCTTAATCTTTCAGAGTGTCGCCAAGACCCGTCGGAACATATCTGACCATACCTCGACTTCTACTTCCGCTATTTTTTCTGTTTAAAAGTTGGACACAGAATTGAAACTTCCATAATTCTGCATGAGAAATATACACTTATATACAAAACATGGGTCACAAATTTAATTATATGCAAAATAATCTCTAAAAGCAAATAAATAAGTAAACAATGCACAATATTACAACACTACATAAACAATGCAATCAAATGAATTTAAATAGTTACAATGACTACAGATATATTTACGAAGTATTCACAACAATTAGAATAAAACGCTTACTCAGATTGTCATCACAATGGGCATCACATGGTGACTCACAACGCTCTGTTTCTTCATTAAAATGCAGTCCTTTAGGGCAAGAGTAAGGCTTCGGCAATCCATCATAACAGTGAACGTAGCTTTCACAGTTTTCAGGGTTAGGATGTAATCCATCCTTAATGCATCTGTAGTCTGTTCTGAGCGCATTATCTGAAGAAAGATTTTCTGTTAATTCTAATTATTTTAATGATATTTTAATAGTGGAAGACCAAGTGTTGCAAAGGGAACTAAACTGAAGTAGGGGTAGAGTGATATCAGTTTCTAAAATGTATGAAAATTAGAGTTAGACTTCCTTCCCCTCCCCTTTTTTTACAATTTATTAGTTTTCTTAATTTTTTTGGAGTTTCTTTTTCGATTGGAATTTTTGGAGTTAGTCTTTTTTTTTTTTTTTTGAATTTCTTTGTTTTGGAGTTTCTTAGCCTTTTTTCTTAGTTTGGAATACAAAAGGGCGTTTGGTTGTTGTATCTTTCCTTGTATGTATTTCATGTGCTTCAATAGAGTGTTGAGATGTTTTTTCGGAATGACTTTGTGTTCTTGGACTCTACAAAGCACCCTGCATCGTGTAGATACGAACCCATGAATTGAATTTTGACTTTTCATTCGCAACACTAAGTATAAAACGGTCCCGAAGAAGAAGGACAAAAGGTTGTAGAGATATTAGGATTTTTTGAAAGCAGGAATGATGAAAAATGAGCAAACGCCTTCGCCGGGAATCGAACCACGGACCTCTAAATTACGCACTGAGCGTGCAGACCATCACTCCACGAAGGCATGCCAAGAAGACGGGGGAACTACCTTATATACCCCCCCTTTTAAAGGGGGATTGAGGTTTCTAGGGGACCCAATCGCCAAATCCTGGGTGAGGAGAATCATCATCCACTGTTCGGGCGCCACTGTAGAGACATTAGGATTTTATGGAAGCCAGAGAGAGGAAAAATGAGCAACACCTTCGCCGGGAATCGAACCACGGACACCTGAAATACGCGCTCAGCGTGCAGACCACCACACCACGAAGGCATGCCAAGAAAGCGGGAGAAATTACCTTATAAGGTTAGAAAGTTTTTGTCTACAAGACGATACCACGTACATGAACATGGTATATTAAAGGCTTTCTTAGAAAATGTAATAAAACAATTTACTTTAATAACCTTCTTAGACATTATGATGAAGCAAAGAGTGACTCTGAACGTCCGTGGTTTCCGATTTGGACGAAAGCTCTTTTAATATATTTGTCTTTTTAGGTAAGAAGTACTTGAAGGTATATATCCTTGGATTCTTGTTCGAAATTGTGTCTGACCGCTTGAATTATCGCAAACTGTGTTCCCGATGGGTTCCAAAAATGCTCACTGATGTTCACAAAACAAAGCGACTTGGTAGTGCGCTGACATTTCTCACGCGGTACAGTGATGAGGGAGAAACTTTTTAAACCAAATTGTGACAGGTGATGAAACTTGGGTGTGTCATTTCACACCAGAATCGAAACAACAATCGATGGAGTGAAGACACACTCATTCTCCGAAAAAGCAAAAGTTCAAAGTGACAATGTCATTACAAAAAATCATGTGCACTGTCTTCTGGGATAGGAAAGGCGTTTTGCTTACTAAATTTCTTCCCAAAGGTGAAATCATTAATGCGGCACGATATTGTGAGACTTTAACAAAACTAAGGCGTGTCATTCAAAACAAACGAAGAGGAATGCTCAGTAAAGGAATTGTGTTGCTCCATGACAATGCTCGGTCCCATACTGCTGGTGTCACTCAATCGTTAATTCGACAGTTTCATTGGGAGCAGTTCGATCACCCGCCGTACAGCCCGGACTTGGCGCCGTCCGACTATCACTTGTTCCTGCACATGAAGCGCGAGCTTGTGGCAAGCGCTTTGGATCTGACGATGACACGAACACGAAAAGTGCTGTGGAGTCGTGGTTATCGAAACTGCCGGGAAGTTTCTTTGACGATGGTATACAAAAACTGGTCACCCGCTATGACAAGTGTTTGATCATTGGCGGAAACTATGTTGAAAAATAGTTTAAGACACGTATTTTCATGTAAAAATAAAATTGGATTCGAAAAAATTGTTTCACTTTTTTTTTTTTTTTTTCAAAACGGTACTTAGTTTCCGAATACGCCTCGTATTATCTTAAGCTCTCAGTAAAAACGAAGACGAAGCTAGGACAAGTCGAATTCGCGTGATTTTGTTTTAAGCAATCCAGTCCAATACACATTAACATAAAACTAAACCTATTGTTTTTCTTAGCTTTTCAAGCAAGCGTCATGGAAGTACATTTGAAATAATTGCTTTTTATTACTCTATCATACATTGTCAATATAACATTCGCTTTTAAATTTCTGTGCATCATACAATGCAATTTATACACTGGTTTCTAAAAGTTAGACATGCAATGGTAAAATCAGCATAAATGCAAATAACACTAGGTTGCACATTAAGGCAGCAAAAGTGTTTAGGTGGGGGGGGGCAAAGCAATCATAATGTACGAAGGTGTAAACGATATTTAATTTACTTAAGTTACAAGATGACGTCATATATGAGTCATTAACAAACTGATGTATCAAGTTAAAAACAAATAAACAAGTATTGCATTAATGAAGACCACCCCCTGATTTTCACGTAAACTCTCAAGCGATTGACCTTGGTTCCAATGAAGTGATCAACGCTCGCAGACGCTACGGTTGACAATTCCTCTAGTAGGGAAATTTCCAAATGTATGAGACTGGCTGGAGAAGTTAGCAGAGACAACATGCTCGAGACTTAATCCGAAGACTGTTAATGACTTGGGGAATATGGTAGCCACTCCGTCCGAGTATGCCCTTACTTTCCTGGTGCTTGTTAATGATATTTGCCCCATGGGGATGACATTACCATCCATAAAGAGGAAATGAGGGTCAACTGCTGTAGCGTAAAAAGGGAGTGTAAGACTTCATCTCGATATCACGCAGCCATCACAAAACCATCTTTAAAGATATGCAGCTCGGTGCGATATCCTTTTGAATTACCAGACCACGTCACGTCATGATCCTGTCACCTTTGAATACATGATGTTAGATGGTGTTCTGAAATGATTCCGGTACCTCGCAGTCTCTTATGCCATTATGCGCTTTTTATGTGATACTCTCCCGTAAACAGGATGTTGCGCCAGTCTAGAACAATACTGTGAGATGCTGAGAACACTCTTTTAATCTCGATGCTTTACTGTTTTAACTACTTGAGTATTCGGGTGCACAGTTTCTCTATGTGAAGCCTTCGCTATACAGCACTCGGAAATATTGTTTTACATCAAGTGTGGCTGCAACCAATGTGGATGTCGTTCGTCAACACCGCTTGACTGCTATAGATATACACTGATTTTCAGAAGGGGTGGTAATACTTGGTCAACTGAACATAAATCGTTTTGCAACTGTTTGATTTGTTCGAAATTATTTCCACATTTTAGAAACTACCGAATGATCAAAGCATAAGGAAAAAACGATATCTTTGATGAACTGTCCTGGTTCAATGTGTCCGATTGCTCACCAGCCCTCACTATCTACCATTCCGCTTCTTTCATCCATAAATCATGCATATCATCAAAATTTACTCTTAGAAACACTTCGCATTTGCATTTAAACTTACCGAATGCTTTCATCTGAAATAAAAGTCTAGTTAGCTTTATGCTTAGAGAATCAATCCTAATTGCCAGTCACATCCTATATACAGTCATCTGATTACGCAGCGACTTTTAACCACTCAAACTGTGTTTCCGAAAAATGCTGATTTGCACTGCGTGGTTAACTTGTGGAAGCCAGTGTATATCATATAATGTTTACAATCAAGTAATGAAATAGAGGAAGGTTACTATCGATAGGCCACCTTTACAAAATGATCCTTAAAGTCCTCAAATTTAGCAACTTCACAATTTTGTACATGTTAATGTAAATATTACTTCCCATACTACAATATCTAGAAATAGAAGTTACATTTATGAGATATTAAGTAAATAATAGAAAAATAAAAATAAGTGCCCTGTCCCCATAAAGGAAATCGATCGCCTTCATTGAGAAGGAGAGTTTCTATGAATGGGCCAGTAGCTGTTTTATTTTTAATATAGTATCATCTTAATACAAGTCAATAAAATGCTTAAAACTATTTTGAGCGTGATTCGTAATTATAAAACGTGGTTAGAAACTAACACAGAACACTGAGAATACATTAAACGTATTGATAGCTTCTAATCATTCACAAGGAATCGGGAGTTGGATTTTAGTTTAGTCTTTGTAATCATAAAATAGGCCTAATGTGAGAATCTACGAAATAACATTGAATTTTGTTTATTAGAAAGAATTTAACGAAAATGAGAATTTGGGGGTAATTTACAGTTAGGCTAGTATGAAAAGAACAATAACCATAATTTGAAAATTTAAGCATAAAATAATTATAATAGCATATCGTATAGTTATAATAACATAAAATAATTATAATAGAATAAAGTAGTTATAATAGAATAAAGTACTTATAATAGCATAAAATAATTATAATAGCATAGCACAAAATAGTTATAAACGTGTAAGATAATTATTAAGCTTAAAATAACTAGCATAAAACAATTATTAAACCTACTGTTACTATTAGGCTATAAATCGTACACAAATTACTGCATCAGTTATTCGTTCTTGATGAGTTCAGTTGCATTTTTTTGTAATAATTCATGTTATTCCCCTTTCTGATCCCAGCACATTTCTCATGAATCCAGACTTTACGCGATAGGCATTGAATTATGTCTTCCTTGAAGTCATCACAACAAATACCACAGAACCATGAATCCTAGTCGGAATTGATAGGCATATTTACTGAAGGCATTGAAAGTTTTCCCTTTAATATCTTCTCCAGTCCAGAAGTTTGGAGTAGTCTTTTCACAGCCTGCCTCTCTTGTTTTTTTTTTTTTTTTTTCTTTCTTCAGGCTCTTCCAGAATTTGCTTGTAAGGGCTACTTGTTATCAGTATTGTTTCTCGGACTTTGTCTGAGCTTTTTCCAACTCAGAATTCAGATAGAATGCGAGAGATTTTACCCGAAGAAACTTTAACTTCTGACAACAATGTTGATGGACCAGCTGGAAGCGATTCTGATACTGTTCCACTGGTAGTTGAAACAGATTTTCTCCCTGGAGCCTGCATGTCATGTGACAGTTCACTAGCAGAAGCAGTTGGGCTTGTGCAAGAAACTTCTACAACAGGAAGATCATTCGCTTCAATTTTCACTTTGCTGCAACAAAATGAAAACTTGATACACATCTCTGTTTACTGGCCAAACTTCTGTTTTAGCAAAACCATTCATTGCTGTTGTTACTTGCCCATTAGGTAGATTATAATAGCAGTTATGGATGAAGCAATTTTTACAATTTGGAACACATACCAGTAAATACTACTCAGTTGGCCTGTTTAAAATACCACGTGATTTTGTGATGATGCAAATGTTTAATTTAATTTATATTTAATGATGCAAGAAAAGACTAAATATGTAATAACCGTATATTACGACGTATAAAGCTTATCTATAAATATCAAAATACATATTTTAATTTTCAGGTATACTTGTCGTATAGAGCACACCAAACATGAAAGATACATTTCTGATATTTTGAAGCCATTCATGTGCGCATCAATAAAAGATTTAAAAAAATTTAAAATGACAGTGAAAAACGTAAATGTTAGAAGATAAAAAGAAATATTTGCAGGAGGAGACAAAATGCATCATGCCAGTCTAGAAACTGTATGTGATTCGGCAATAAAAGCATGAAATGAAATTAAACCCGACGTAATTCAAAAGTCATATAAAAATGTGACATTTCTAGTAATGCATATTGGACGGAAGAAGATTATGTATGAAAGCAGTGGTGCCCAACCTTTGGCCAATTGCGAGCACATTTTGGCCTATCGCGAGCCCATTTCCAAAATATCAACATTTTTGTTAAACAGATTTCCAATCTTAAGCGATATATCTGAAATATTAATTTCGGCAAATGAGTTTGAGATGAATAATAATATTGGTTGAACTTTATGGAAATCAGAAAAGCGGAGTTCAAAATTATTTTTCAGTCCATTTAGGTTTTCCGAGTATTTCTCTGTTTCAATTGCCTTGTGGTCATTAATATGGCTCGATAAATTCTAAAAATGGGTGAAATGTATTTCTTTCATCTGATTTATCCACAAATTTAACTTTATCTGAAAAGCAGTTACAGTCCCGGTTAATTGAAAAAGGATTTTTACTTTTCCCTGGAGATCTTCGTTCAGTTTAGCTGTTATATCAGTGAGAAAATACAGTTTGGATAACCAATTATTATTTTCCAATTTTTCATAACTTTCGTTTCCGGATTCCAAAAAACTGCTTTATTGGCGAAAGAAGTTCTACAAATCGTTGAAGTACTTTTTCCCTGCTGAGCCATCTGACATCGGATGAAGCAACAAGATTCCATGTTCGCTATCAAGTTCACGAGTCAGCAATCAATTATTTTATAATGTCTTGCAAGATATCTCTTATGACTATAAATGCTTACCATATTTTAACAATTAAGAAATATAAATGAATGATTTTTTTTAAATATTTTTGTTCATAGTACCTAATCGGGCTGGCGAGCACAAGGTTGGGCATCGCTGTATTAAGGGATCAGATTAACAGGGAAGGTGAAGGTGAAACAGAATTCGGTGATGTGCCTGACGGTTTAATGGAAAACGAGAAGGACGAACTTTTCATGTTATTCAAGAATAAAAAATTTTAAGTTCATATAACCTATGTGATTTCTTTTAAAAGCACATAGGTACAAGTAGAAATCTAATTTTTATAGGCTCATCTTTTTTCTTATTTTTAAATCTACCATTTTCATATGCGACGTATAAAGCGCACCCATTCCTTTCAATGTTATATTTTATATTAAAAGTGGGCGTTATAAGCAGGAATTTACGGCATTATTAAATTATGAATTTTTGATTTTATCCTAAAAGTTGTTCAATTGTTAGTTTCATTGGAAACACAAATCTTTAGAAAACAAGTTTGCATTTGTTACACCGGTATAACATTGTAAATAATCATATCTTCTTTATTGAGAATAATTACCCAAAGAAACATTTAAAAGAGTAAAGCGTTTAGTTACTAAATTTTACTTGTTACTTATCATTCAACAAAGAAATTTAAAATTCTGCTCACTTGATTTCCAGCCACATTCTTCAGCTGAAATGAGAAACAAAGGAAGAAACATAAATTATTGCAAAATATCCCATGCATGAATTTTTTTGATAAAACATTTTCAAAGAAATGAAGCTTATAGTTTGAAGTCAAGAATATTTAGAAATTGTTAATAAATTACATTTCAAAAGAACTTCAAGTTTGTATTATTTATGTAAACTTTAGCCAATGAAACCTCTGTATCAAAGAAACATTTATTTAAGACACAATAACACGCCGAACAAATATTAATTTAGAAGTCAAACAACAAAAATCAGCGTTATATTTTCAAAGTTTCACAAGACTAGTTTTGATGGTTCGGTAAAACCATCAAAACTAGTTTTGCTTTCAAAGTTTTACTTTGCAAAGTTAATCAAACTTTGTTTTGCTTTATTCTGCTAGTATAACCACACTAGTAAATTAACCTTTATCTTCTTATAAACAATGTAGATATAAATTTACTTGATTGAAAGTTTTAAGAACAAGGCATATACATTCAAGTAAACCTTCTTAAACTGTAATTGTTGCTTCTGGTGCAATGACCCAGTGGTCATTCTATCAGATCGATAGTCTGGTGGTATGATCTAATAACACTGTACTTATTATACTATGCTTACGTATTAATTACGTATTTTTTTCACTGAGATAAGGGACGAATAAGGTCGAAACGTTTGAGAATCCCTGTGTATCAGAGCACGAATTACTTCGAATAATTAAGGTGCACTATGAACTACCAACAATCAGATTTAACGTAGGCAGTTGTTGTTATTGCTTGTTTCGATTGATAGATTCCTCCAAGTCCAGCAAAGGTCATTGAAAATCATCCGATTGAGTAGGACCTACACCCTTAGTATTTCTATTTGCTGTTTCTAAAAGTAGATATTAACCAGAGTTGCATTCAAACACCCTTTTAAATTGCGCTATCTTCCATTAGTCGGCGAGCAGCCAAAATTTCATCACAGCTCGCTTAAAAGTATTGTCAACGTCCCCCAATTCAACGTTGTAGCAAATACAAAATACCGCATCAGTTTGTCATATCTTGATAGCATCAGGATGTATAATAAGAAAGCAAATTTAAACAAAAATTTTGGGATTATTTGCTATATCTTATATCTAATGTAATCAAAAAAATTCAAATTGCCTTTTTGCCACCTTACCATGATTTGTAAAGTCATTAGCCAAATTGCCATCTTTTGACAAGAGAATGACAACAGATTGTTAGTTGCTTCAAGACTAACCAAATTATTTAAATGCAGAACAATGACTGAATGTTTGCCTTCTTCAGGATGTTTTGTTTCTGAAAGGTAAAATTATTTTCTAAGTGTGAATTTTTGATTCCTAATTTTTAATCAAGGAAGACTATAGAATTGAGTCTTCAGTATAAGTCTAGCTTATCTAGTCAACTGAAAAACGGAATTGAATGCCTACTCTGACTTTAATGCGATTCTTTCTCGTAACAACTATTAATATTATTTTAGCGTTTACTGTGATTAGACAATGTCATGAAAGACATGTTTCTCTATTAAGGCAGAAATTTAAATAGTTCTAATTTAATTTCACAAGATGGTTGAGCTGTCAGTTATGTGAAAGGAAACGAAGACCAATGGATATGTCCAATGGAACCAATGGACACTTGCCCTCCAAAAGTTAAGGAACAGCGTGTTCTCAAAGCTCATCGTTACAAAAATATCAGTAATATTTAAGTTCATAATTTATATGCATGAGAGAAATGAAGTTTAAGAAAATAAAACATATGCGAAATCAATAGCTACCACTTTTATTTTATAGAAATGAATACTTATGGAGGAGTTGGAGAAAGAATGTTGATCTTCAAATGTTATTAGTAATTTCGTTGACAATTCCAGAAGATTCTATCAATGTCCAAGAGAAGTCGTTTGACCGATTAGTTGAGGTGGCGGGGTACCGGATGGATGGAAATGAGGATGTCACTAGCTGATGCTGTTAGACGTCTTAAAGGCTCTCGTAGTATGTTTCACCGATTATGGAATCAGTTTGAATCCGAGGATTCTGTGTCTGAAAGGCATGCTGCAGACAGACCTAGAGTTACAACACTTGCCAGAGAGTGATATTTAGCTTTTTCAGCCCGAAGAAGGTGCAACATTACTGTGCCTTAGCTCATGGCAGATGGCTCATGGCTCATGGCTCATGGCTCATGGCAGATGGCTCATGGCTCATGGCCTTAGCTCATGGTAGCATCATTTAGTGGCAACAAGAATCTCAGCTACTACTACAGTGAGCAGACGCCTGCACAATATATATCTGTATGCAAGACGACCAATTGTTTGTGTCGCTTTCATTTGAGGCCAAAGAGGTACCGTTTATGTTGGGCAACAGAACACGTCTTCTAGACCATCCAGTCAACAATGGGAGTCTGTTCTCTTTACAGACGAAACCAAGTTCACATTGGAAAGTGATTCAGGTCGTCAGCTGATCTGGAAGAAACAACGCACTAGATACAACCAATCGCACATTGTGTAAAGCTACAGTTAAAGATGTGGTGGAATAATGGTTTGGGCTGGGATCTCTCTCGGTGGTCACACTGACCTGCATGTGTTCCATTGAAGAACTTTGACCGGTGTGAGATATCGATACGAGATCCTTGATCAATATGGTTTTCCATATGCTGCTGCTTTTAGTCTCTGATTTATTCTGATAGACGCTAATGAGCGACTGCGCCGAGCTCAGGTTGCTTAAGAATATTTTGAAGATCACGGTACGGAGCGGATGGAACCGCCCGCTCATTCCCTAGACCTGAATACGAAAGAACATTTTTGGGTCTACCTTAAGAGACAGGTTGGTGCTTTAAGTTCTCCTCGACGGTCGTTAGCTTGACTAAGAACTACTCCATGTCTGGTCGTTGCTTCCCATTTCACTGATCGGCAACTTAATTGTCAACATGAAACCTTGCTGCCGCCAATGTATTGCAGCTAGGGTTGCATAAATTGCTTATCAGAACCCATTTTTGTAATATTACCACCGCACTGTTTCTCGAAAATCTGTGATATACTGTTTCTCCAAAACTAGATTTCTCTGCTAAGAGTGCAATTTTTTGTTGCAATTCATGTTCGTGTTGAACTTTAGAAACATTCTATGTCACATTCATTAAAGAACTGTTTAGTGAACATGTCCTTTAAATTTCTTATTCTATGTTGCTGTATTCTCAAATGAGACACAAAAATCATGCTGTTCCTTAACTTTTGGAGGGCAGTGTATATTTCAGGAAAAGTTCCAAATTCTTTGATATATTCTTGAGCACCTGAAAAATGATAGTAAGACTTTTTCCATCTTCGTACCAGTTTTGAAGAAAGGTCTGGGATAACGGATCCGTTTCCGTGGAAGGGATCATAAAGACTTCTATCTAACTTCTTCTAACATCGATTTCTCGAGATAACTTTAAGAGTTCTTATGTTACAAAGATACAAAATACTTACAAACAACCAAGCTTCCTTTGGGATTCCAACCCAGAACCAAGGCCTATTGCATCTGGCTTTCTTAAAATCCTGTCGCTAAAATCCTAGTATACGGTACGGCCTTGGTGCGATTTTGAAAATCGTCGCCAACACCAAACTGACGCGTTTGAAACAAACCGATATATCCCCAGTCGCCAAACCCCGTGTGTATGGTGTACTAGGATCAGACCATCATACCAACAGGACAGCTGACTCTTGCTGTAGAACAGTAGACGTAAAAACAATGTTTACGACTATCGGAAGCATTGGCTTAAGCAATTAAAAAATTTTAAGACTTTAGAAGTTGACATATTACTCTAGTTTAGAATATGTTGAGTAATAATTAAGTATGGAAAAGCATATGAATATCACATAACGAGGAGGATAGACAAATATATGAATTTCCAAAGCAAGGCAGCTAGAATTTATGTTACATATTGACTCATTAAATATTCAAGGCATGCATAAAATTTCCTTGTAAACACTCTGATAGATGACATATACCAGTATATAAGGTGTTTCCAATGGTTCATATTGGTAAATAGGTTATTCCAAGAATAATTATTTCCTATTAATACAGAAAGGTAACTGTGGTTATACTTTACAACACATTAGTGCCGATAGCAGACGCTTCTTTTTAAACTCTTGAGTAAAAACAGTGAGTAACTTCTAAAATGAAACAAATGAAAAAAAGCAAAAGCATGAAAACACAACTTAGATAAAAGCTTGTGAAATCATTAGTTAACTTACCTAATGTCTGGTCGCAATAGGCTAGACACTGTGGAAGGCAACTTTTCTTTTCTTCGTTATAGTGATGCAGATAAGGACAGAAGCGAATGGTTGCTTCACCTTTAATGCACTGAATAAAAAACTCACATTCGCTGGGAACGGCTATTCTTTCATCTTTGGTGCAGTTAATAAAGACAGCTGACTTAGGAGCTAAATGCATTTTGAGATATAAATATGCTTTAAGTTTATTTAATTTTGTTTCCCATAACATATATATATATATATATATATATTTTATTTTGCAGTATATATATATATATACTGCAAAATAAAACAAACTTCTTATTCCAAATTAGGTATTCAGGTTGACTCCAGAGCTGACATTTATTTTTAATTAATCTGGTGTTACTTTATTCTTCTGGTGAAGTTACATAAAACTAAAATTTGGTTTTATTTGCGTCTAAAAGAGCTCATTAAAAAAACTCAATTGCTAGAATGTCAAACAACTTCAGTCATCAGTATCCGTTCATGGCAACTCTGAATACCATTTTTCATTTCCATGGGAAAATTTAGCATATATCCATAAATGAAGTAAATACAGCTTCTTGCATTTGCTTTGATTTGAAATAATTTTTGGAAAAATACTAAAAAACTTTAAAATGTTACTCAAATATCTTTTGTCAAATTACTGTAAGAAAGTGAAACTAAGGGTTCAAGAGTTTTAATTATGTACCTCATTTATAAAGCAATGATTGTATGTACTTCAGTTATTAAGCAATGATTGTGTTCACGCTTAATGCGATTACGTTCGCACACGACTAGTATTAAAATGAAAAAAATATCCATTGAAATAGTTATGGCATTTAACTAATTTAATATAAAAGTACCAAGAAAAGTGTAAATAATTTTCATTTTCACAGCATTTTAATTAGAAAATTACAAAAAGTATGTTTAGGAACTGCTCATAATGCTTCTGGAAATTATTTTACCAATGCTGTATC